AGTCCATGTGCACCATTGGTTTGGAATCACGGTTTTCTAACTATCCTAGGTGGACTCACTATGTCCACCAACCCGGCTAAGGCGCCGGACATTCGCTTTTCGTCTTCTCAATTTCGTAAGCAACATCCCCGCCACGAAAATGTAATGAGTAGGACTTCCATGACAGAGGCTGTATACGCGTGGCACTGTGAGAGTATTTCGAGGGAGAGAGAGAGAGCTGACTCTCCCTACTCAGGGCCGTACCAGGGCATTTGGGGCCAAATCTCACATAAATATAGATTATTTTACTAGTCTCATAACAAAGCTTGAATCATCTGAAAAACAATACAAAGTATTAATTAATTCAGTTAAAAATAGTTTACTAACTCATTACATATGTTCCATAAAACGGTTACATAATTAGTTAGCTTTAAAATAATAAGTTCAAGTTAACTATTTGGACCCTTAATCATCATCTATTTTCTATTTAGTAACTAAGGTAAATTTCCAATTTTATGACCATATACCTTTTATCATTTAGACTTCAGTCATTGTCGAATGAATATTGATTATTTTTTTTTGTGTGTGTGTGGAAAATTCTAGACATAATTATATGCATATTTGAATGAAACCACCAATGAAATTTAGACCATTTTTCCAATAATAATCAATCATTAGAGTCTTTTAAGTCTGATCTCTTATTGGTTAAATTTGACCTACAGGCATCTATATATACAAGCTTATCGTATTGATTGATCTAATCAAAAGTTTAAAAAATACAAAAAAAAATCGAAGGGTCTTTTTCTTTTCTTTTTCATTTGGTTCCTTTATTGAAGGAAGAGTTAAAGTTACCTTTTTTTTAAATGAATTAATCATTATTTGAAGAAAAACACCATTTCATCAAAATCTATCGTTGAGATCTTTTCCAACGATGTTATTGTTTAACTTCAATTGAGCGATACATCCAACATTGTGTTCAGTGAATTACTATCTTACAATAGATCTGATTGAACTCCACTGGTCAATGCTTCTCACTAGAACTCCAAGAAATACTTGTTAGAGATCATTATTTTAAAGTACTTTTACTAGACTCAGTATAATAAAATGAATATAAGTCGTAATTTTAACTCTACATTCAATGTCAATAATACTTGAAGTGTTTTTATGAGATTGTGTCACAGTTTAGTGGCCCAGTGATCCCCAAAATGCCCTGGTAAGGCCGAGAGTAGGGAGAGTTCGCTGTCCTTCACGAAATGCTCTCATATGGCGACACGTATATTGCCTCTGACAGGGAAGTCCTACTCACTGCCTTCTCGCACCACGGGTGTTGTCTACGAAAATGAGAGGATGAAAAGCCAATGTCCGGCGCTTTAACCGGATCCCAAACCAATGGTGCATATGGGCTTCAGTATCCTGCGGTAACAAATGGCGTATGAACCAATTGTTGGTCACCGGCTTACATGGGAATGCATCTCCATACGATGCTCCATTGCCTTGTGGATCAGACCTTCAGGTCGAAGGCTCTGGGTGTGGCCCCCTAAGAAAACCACCTGTTTCGGTCTGGACACCCTGGCAGTATCACAGCCCTCACACACATATCGAATGAGATTTGTGTGGGGCATATCTATTTGGTGCCTCCTTGTACCAATATCTATGTGTTACAATAAATAAAACCCCAAGTAGATTGTTTGTCATCTGTTATCGATGTATATACATATGATCAATCCTCGTATATAATCATTGAGTTAAACTGTGTTGGTGAATAACGGAATTAAATTAGTTGAATAAGAGAATGATATTTGAATACGTATATTTCATAAACAAAACAAAACAAAACAATATGACACCTAATATAGAGAAGGCAAATGAGTCGACTTCATTACGCGTCATATAATTTCGCTTTTTTGTTCACTCCATATCCCTGATTATCAGTTCAGATCAATAATGATATGAAATATACATATTCGAAATCCATTCTCGTATTTGACTTATTTTAATTCCATTATTCACCAACGTGAGTTAAGTCGATAATTGTATACGAGGATTGGCAACATGTATAGTTCGATAACAATCATTCATACGATCAGATATAGGGACACTAAAACAGTAACACTTTTTCTGTGAGAATAAAGTGAATTATCACTTCTTCCCTGTAGTTTTGATACTCAAATAGAAATGTAATAGAATAGTCTAATACTTTAATTTATAACATTGATTTTCAGTACAGGAAAAACTTTGTTTTGGGGAAATTATTCATAACGGTTAGAAAGTAACAAATTACTTAAAAGTACACTAATTTACTAGGGCTGATTAGACTTTTGTTTTCATAATGAGTAAGTGTTAATCTTTCTGTTTAATGCCTCTGAGAAACAGAGTAGAAATTAATGTTATTTCAACAGATCATGAGTCCATTGAAGCTAGACCATCACGGAAAACCTGGAAGCATTGGACGACCGTTTCGTCCTGTTGTGGGACTCCTCAGCAGTGCGTATCCCCGAGCCCGTCCTATCAGTATCGCGCCAGGGGCTTAACCAACTAGACCACTGAGCTGGCCGGCATCCAACGGTGTTGATGTCTAACTTTAACTAATCCACGTAATTGAGCAACACATCTATCATTGTCATCAGTGAGTTACTATCTCACAAGTGACCCGGTTGAACTCCACTGGTAACGGCTTCTCACTAGAACTCCAGTATTTTAAAGGCATTAACTATATCTATTTTATGTTGACTATCCAAAAAAATACCTGGCAATTACACTTGTTAGAATGAGTTTTGTGGAGAATTTAGGAAATTTCACAGGTTGTAATCATGAGTCAATTGAAGCTAGATCACCTTGGAAAACCTGGAAGCACTTGTGAAAACTGCATTGCATTTTAGACAAATAATGTATTGAACAAAGAAATAAACAGTTCAAAATTATTCATATACCATGGACAATTTATATACAAAATAATGACATAATGATTTAAATCATTTGACTATTTGACCTGAATAATTATGACAGAGGTATAATATAGTGACAGCTTTGAGTTAACCACTCGGAACGAGGGACCTCTGCAATTCCCACTATGCGAAAGTAAGAACACAGACTGGTATAAGCGAATGTTTATTAGCCCCAAAACACCATGACGACGACGATCAAAATAGTCTAAAATACTCTGGTTTATATATTGATTGTATACCCATTTCGATTAATAATTAGGATGAAATCACATACTCAGTTATAACAAATCACTTACTGAGTGAGCATAGTTCATGTCAATGGAGTACAAGTATATCTCATAATGAGTAATTCAATCGAAAATTTACTTTTCTTACCATCATGTCAGTCTCATGTATTTTGTGCAAAGTATAAAATGCATTAATAGGTAGTGTGTATTTCGTTACTGATAAAGTAGGAATTGTCAGTATTTTGGTTCTTGAAATATTTGAAATCCAGAAAAATATCTATTATACAACTGAAAAATGTATTTTACATAGTCTTTGAGCTAAATTTTAGTGTTTCCAGGTTTTCAATGGTGGTCTAGCTTCAACTGACTCATGATCTCAATCTGTGAAAATTTCTAAAATCTCCACAAACCCCTTTTGATAAATTAGAATACATAAATACTCTTAAAACAATGGGTAATAAAAAGTGTTAAATGAAGTTAGGTAATGTTCTCCCTTTCTTACTTTCACTCTGAATCTCAACCCCAAGTAAATACGAAGGTGACAGTGGATTGAATTATAATTGACATTTATTAACTGATGTCACTTTGTGTTGGAAACCCTGACCCTAATCAGTAAACCCAACTGAAAACTTCAGTTTAACTGTTAATACCTAATATCAACCTTTTTACATGTTAACCGATTTCAGTTGGCGATGAAGACTCTGTGAAGTGACAAGCCTAACTCACAGTACTATTCCGATTCCGAATATATAAATTTGACTTTTTACCTTTACTACGATGGATAATTTGACATGTGAAGGTTAATAATTCAGATGGAATCTATTATTCCACTATCATTTGTTTGGTTTGTATATTTGATTGTTTTATAATTAGGTAATGTTTCTTGACTGACTTACAAGTTGTCTAAAGTCGTTAGTGTTGTATGCTTTTATCGAAATTTATCAATCAGTTTACAATGAAATGACTAGTCTAAACAACTCATTACTGTGTACACTATGTTACGATATTGATCAACTGAGGATAGTTGGCAGGTAAACGTAGATTTATGTTTCCTACTCATCAACATAACATAGCTACAATCATTGAAGATACTGATCCTTTTTATAGTTTTTGAATTCTACGTCCATGATTTCTTGCAAACAATCTCCAATAGCTTAATAATATTAAATGGTCATGAAATACTAAATAAGATAGTCATTAGTTGTAATTCTTTTTTCTTTTCCTAACATGAACTCAATAATTTTATTCCCATTTCTGTCTCTGGCAATACTAATCAGTATTTATTTTCGTTTATATCTGTTTATTAAGTAAAATCAGTCATTCATTCAGCTACAACGTACGATCAGGTACATATATGCATCAGCCCAAGTTATCATACCCCATTACCACATCAAGGTGAACACCGGATTCATAAAAGTAGTTAATTCAATAATTATAATTTATAAAAGAAAGATTTCATATAAGGATATAGTACAGGAAGAAAGAATTAGTTCATAGAAAGGAAGATATTAAGCGATTTTAATCTCATAGTTTAAGGGAAGACAGAGAATGTATACACCGACGCTATCGTAATCGATTCTGAGTCATGTCACGCAGTGTCTTCAAGCATTGGTTACGATAGTCACGCGGACCCCAACCAAGTTGTCTGTATCTACCAACATGACTCAAACCAGAAGTTAGTGACTTCATTCAAGCACTGATCCCATGTTTTGGTTAACAAAATGATCAAGTGAATTACAACCCACAATTGACCAAATATCAATAACATAATAGTCACTTTTATCACTGAATAGATCATTAACTTGACAATGTCTAATTACATGATTATTATTGACTAATCAATTCACAGATTATGCACGATGAGGTCAGTGAAACAGAAAATATACGCAAAAATTTGGCTATTGAACGTATGATTGTAGATGGATGTGATTTATTGCTTGATGTCAATCAAGTATTTGTACGTCAAGGTAAGTCAAATTAATAATAAATATTTATTTAGTTCAATGAATATAATCCATTAAAAGTGTACTATTTTGATGAATCAATCAGATTTAAAGAGTAGAAGAGATTGAGTTTTTGTACGTAACCCTAAAACACTAGAACGAATAATGAAGCTTTCACTGTTGAAATCACCGTTGTAAACGTGAATGCACTGAATGAGCGTTTCGTTCCAGCAAGGGACTCCTCAGCACTGTGTATCCATGAACCTGCACCCGGAGTCGATTACTAGGGTGCTTAAAATTGATAGAAATTACAGAACAAAGAATGGGAGACGAATATGTACGATTCTCAAAATCTTATGATAAAACAGCTAATAGATTTCGTGGGAGGAAATAGCATAAAACAGATAGAGGTGAAATGTATATAACATTTTGAAATGATTCATGAATTGTTGAAGATAATTTAGACTCTTTACTAAAACGTCTAATCCCAAACCTAAATGTTACTGTACTGAATAACCTATCCGTATCATCAAGATTCCGATACCACTACAATTGGACTTACCCACTCTTAGTGATTGAAGAGTCACCGAAGGTAAAGGAGTTCAGTAAACAATCACTGAAACTTCTCACTTCTCCCCTTGATCTGTTAATAGTATACAGTTTATTAGTTAGGCAATGTCAATCTTGATATTCAAGTTTTTATTACAGTTAATCCTTTCATTTATTGAAATAATTCATTTACAACATTTAGACTTCGGTTTTAGCTTAAAAGTGGTATTCTTAAAAAATCACTACACGTTCATTTTACCAAAAAAGGAAACAATTTTTCATAATTTGCATCATTGATCAATCTTAATTAGGCAACCATTAAGAAATAGAAAGGATTGAACAGCTATTTCGTCTTAGTGTGGGATTCACCAGAAGTGTACCCACCATATCTTCATTATAGGGGATAGAAGACAAAACCTTTAGCTCTCGAGAAGAGTGACTAACTTTTAGATGATTAATCTAAAATGTGATGAGTTTCACGTCGAATTTAAGTGTTCGCACTCAGGTCAATCAGCAATCAATAAGCATATTGAAATCAATCCAATTTACCAAACAATCAGGAGAATTATGCACAAATATAGGAACAAAAACCAAACCAATGGGAGACAAAACCAAAACAAAGAAGTAAACAATGACAAATCTAATGCTAACAAGAACCAATCAACATCGAGGTGCACAAAATAAGTTGTGAAATACATATGGAGAAATTCGAACATTTCAGTTCTATTTAAATTTTGTGCTGATGATGTCGTTCAGAAGAATGATGAAAGCTCCACGATCAAACCATCCAGCTCAGAGAACGAAACTCCACCAAAATATTCCCACATGTTACACAAAAAATACACTTACATATACACGTCTACACATTCATAGAATCAAATTATAGTCAAAAAGGGGTATCGTGGATACTATAGTACTTGAATTCATTAGTTAATTGAAACTAGACTATTACGGAAAACACTGGAGGTTAAGTGTTCACATGTGAAACCAATAGGTTTTGAGTTCGAATCTCGCGAGGCGGGATTATGGATGTATACTACTGATGAATTCTATACTAGGATGAAACAATTGTCCACTGCTTTCAAGTTTTCCATAATGGTTTAACTTCAATTAACTCATGAATTCAACTATGACCAATTACAATCAAATAATAAAAAAAATAATAATACTCAATAAATAACAAGTGAATATTAAATGTTCAATAGTCAATTTTTTTCATTTTTATTTGTTTATATTTATTTATTTATTCATATTTTGTTTCTAAGGTTTATCTGATTTTCATTGTTTCTAGTTAATGGTCATATGACCTTAATTTCATTTAACTGGTTAATGTTTTTTCTATGAAGAAATAATATTAGACCCTAGATCTTTTATTGATTTCAAATAATAATAATCATGATAGTTCTGATAAATGGGTGGAAAATTTGAAAAGAGAAATAATAAAAAGAACAATCATTATTAGTGAAAGATAAATTCAGAGAAGTAGTAGTAGTAATATTATGTGGGTTGCTTATATTCATATAAGTAATATATAAAGGTGGACAGGCTAGGAGAATGTATTTCATTAGAAGGTAGAGATGGAAAGGACAGGAACGAAACACAATTGATATAAAAATGCATGAGTAATGAAATCTGAGACAATGGACTGATATTCTCAAAAGCAACAGTTAAGTTTGAGACGATGGATTAATATTTTGCAAATTAGATATTTACTAGAGGGTTCTCAGATTTTATTGAGATACTCTGTAATTCTGAATTCAAATTCATTCGATTGTCCGCATTCGTATTCTTGTTCACTACAGTAGTAGTAGTGGTGGTGGTCGAGGTAATAGCAGTAGTAGTAGTGATGATGGTGGTGATAGTAGTGGCGTAGTGAACAGAACACAGGTGAGGACAATCGAATTATACATAGCACAAAGTTACAGATTTCCTTGGTAAAATAGATAAACCATAGTATAATACTTAATTTGCAAAATGTTCAGTGATTGTCTCGAACTTTGTTGTTCTTGCATTTCCATACTAATTGCTTTCTATTCCCACTCTTGATCTTCCCCATCTGCTGCCAGACATTACATTCTTTACTCACGTCATATACTACTTATATCAATATAAGTAGCACGCACCACAGTGATAGTAGTAGTAGTAGCATTGTGACATGCTTGTTAAAATAACATTTAATATCATCAGAACTTTTCAAGACTGTGTAGAATTCCTAGGATGGATAATCAGCATATATAACAAAACTAATCTTATATTAATATAGGAGTTAATGGGGAAGACTTGACTGACAAAGAAATGATTTGGATGTCATAGTGTTCTCTGAGTTGGATATTTCCTTGAAATATTTTTTTGAAAACTAATTTAACATCTTCACTTATCTAGGTTGGTATTTCATTTTTAAAATGGATAAATGAAGCATCATCTCAAGTATGAGACCATTAATTTTGCTTGGTAATTTGCAATTAGAAGTATTGATGAAAGTCAATAGGAAAAAATGATTAAAATGTACCTGATGAATAATTTCATATAAAGAATAGTGAAAATTGTCCGCATAGACCTGAGAGTTTGAGATAAACAAAGAGAGAACCTTTTCCAGTTATTGCATTTTCAAAGCTGAAATTGTCACTAACATTAATATATTGGATCTATTCACGAAATATATAATAAATTTCAAGGAAAAGGTTATCCGGATTCATCAGTCACGTCATGAAGACTTAGGAAAAGATAAGTAATCAAGGAAATTGTACTAGTCGGGAGGGGGTAGATTATATATACCTGTTTAATTTATAGAGGATATACGCCATAGACTGAAGTACTACTGTTGTTTCATTTTATTACGGGAATGTTATGCAATAAAATATACCAAAAATTTATTGAAATTAAAAATACGAATCGTTGAGTACCACGATCACTAGACTGGTATAATTGTTAAGCACTTGACTCGAGATCAGCAGGTTCTATTCTAGGTCCTTATTAGGGTGATGGGTGCGATAGTCTTGGAGTTCGACAGCTCCCTAGTTTCCCTTAGTTTCTCTAATGGTACCTCGACTGAGATCAAATGATAAATACCACTCAAAACATTATGAAAATAGATCATTTAACATGATGATCAATAGTGAACATTAAAAAGACAAATATATTCTTTTACAATATAATTGTAATCCATTATCCTGTATGACTTCGAGAGTGAAATCACCATAAAAATAACACATCTCCTCCACATACATATTAACACTCTCTTGATCTATTTCCGGATAACTGTTTTCTATTTATATGAGCTTCAACTTTTATATCTCGTATTACAGCAACCAGTTATAAATAACTATTATAATTAGGTATTTGAAGAAACAACAGATAATGGCTATCAATAAGAAACTCAAGATGAGAGTTTTGTCTTATTTTGGACTCGTTATCTGGATGTACCTGTCATATCTCAATGAGAACGTCCACTCCGGGACTTAAACTCAGCACATTTCTTTTTAAAACGCCAACACGTTATCCACTTAGCACCTGAATTCAAATAACAACTAACTTGCGTGATGGAGTGAATTTTAATTCATTTGTATTGATTGTTTGAATCTCCCCAATAATATTTAGGACTGCAATTGATCAGTCTCTTTTCAGGATACGTTCAACTTTCCTTATAAATTAATGGGAATATCGAGACAATCTGCATAAAATCCACATATTTCAATCCAAAATAACCCATTGCATTCTTAAACATCCATAGAAAGGTTCTAATAATAAATATAAAGGAATTAAGAATTTAGTGGTCTATTTCAGACAATTCAACCAAGAAAAATTCAGTTAATTCATTCCCACTACCAAAATCACTCATCCGATCCGTTTCGCTTTTTCTGTTTATTTCTTTATAATAAGGAAACAAATTCTAATAATTATCTATATAAAACTTACTTACATCTGTTACTCCTCGTGAAGGAGCATTGGTCCCCTACCAGCACTCTCCATCCAACCCTGTACTGGTCAGTCCTTTCCAGCTCCTTCCAGTTGTTATTCATCCTTTACATATCTGCTTCTGTTTCACGACGTAATGTGTTCTTTGGCCTTCCTCTTTTCTGCTTCCCTTCACGATTCCAAATTAGGGCTTGCCTCGTGATGCAGTTTGATGATTTGCGTAATGTATGTCCTATCCATTTCCATCGTCTTTTCCTGATTTTTGCTTCAGCTGGAAGCTGGTTTGTTCTCTCCCAGAGAAGGCTGTTGCTAATGGTGTCCGACCATTGGATGTTGAGTATCTTGTGTAGACAACTATTTATAAATACTTGTACACTTTTGAAAATGGTTGTAGCAGTTCTTCACGTTTAAGCTCCACACAGTAGAACTGTCTCAACGTTCATATTGAAGATTCTCACTTTGATATTGGTTGAAAGTTGTTTTGAGTTCCATATGTTCTTCAAGTCTAGGGATGAGACCCTTGCTTAGTCAATCCTCGCCTTTAAGTTTGCATCAAATCCACTTTGTTCATCGATGATGCTGACCAGATACGTGAAGAATTCCACATCTTGCAGAGTTTCGCCACCAAATGATATTGGGTTTGTGTTGTCTGTATTATATTTGAGGATCTTGCTTTTTCCTTTGTGTATGTCGAGGCCTACTAATGCAGAGGCTGCTACTACACTAGTTGTCTTCATTTGAATTTGTTTATGTGTATGGGATAAGAGGGCTAGGTCAGCTGCGACGTTCAAATCGTTTAATTGGTTTTGATTTGTCCCCCAGATCTAGGTCTTCATAATTCAGTCGACCACCAGAAGAAAGAGAAGGGGAGAGAGTCTCACAACAGGACGAAACGGCCATCCAATGCTTTCAGGTTTTCCATGGTGGTCTAGCTTTGACTGACTCATGATCTCAAACATCGAAATTACTATAATATCCACAATACCCCTTCTGATATTAAATTTTCTTTTCTTTATTGATCAGGTACATTAATTCAAGTTATGTGTGACAAATTACGTTCCTCTCGTTCAAGATTAGGAAATTTTGGATCATCTTATCGTGAAAGAAAAGAAGCTGTACGTCAAGTATTTTTATTCACTAATCATTTATTGATTACTGCTCGTACTAATAATGGTAAATTAAGATTAGTCAAGGTAAGTTATTTAATTTTTATTGATTTGTTTTAAACAAAATTGGGATAATATATCGATTTTGGAATTCACTGTAAATACATTTCTTTCTTGTATCGTTATTACCTAATATGTAGCTGTATAGAGGCAATCCATTCTAGATTTACATGTGTTAATTAAGACTGATCAAAATTCAGTCAACTATATCAACAACAGGATAATTCAAACCGGTCCTAATAGTGATATAAAAACCATACTTTTTGTGGAAGTATATAACTATCCGGACTCGGTAGTTGATTGGGTGATATATCCAATGTCCGAAGGAAAAAGCATCGAATTCGAGTCCCAGATTGAGCATCAACACTGGGGTACGACAGGTACATCTAGCTAAGGATTCTCAGATAGGACGAAATGCTCATCATGGATTACACTACTACCCACATTCCATCTATCCTGTATGTTTTAAAAATAACTACAACTCAATAGACAATGTGACTGCAAAACATATAACCCAATGATCCTACCAGTTTTATTATCCTTAAGTTGAAAAATAACTCTAAACTGTATTAGATTTATCAAGAAATTTAGTGTTTTATTGTGTAAGATTAGCTGAAGATTACGACAAAAGGGATTGCATCAGAGCATACCATCGTAATTGGTTGTAAAGTTCAAAGAGCTGTATAGTCTTTTTCAGCTTATGCACTAACCAATAATAATGAAGCATTAACACTCTCAGGTCGGTGAAGTTTGACTGCCCAAATATGTTGTTCTTTCGTCATGCTAATGCGATAAAGTACAGAGATAACAGTTCATGCATTCACTTGAGGTACTGACAATTCAGTTTACGTATTAAAGACAATTGTTAGTGTAAATTGGAATGACCTTTAGAGAATTCTCACCACATTAAATCAATCAAAAAAGAAGTGGTGTGAATGAGTAATATATAATGATGAAATAAAATAAATTATAAAATATAATCAGAAAAGGGTTTTGTGGAGATTTTAGTTATTTAGTAGTTGGATTCATTAGTGAATTAAAGCTAGACCACCATGGAATACGTGGAAGCACTGAACAGCCGTTTCGTCCGAGAATGGACTCCCCAGTAGTGTGCATACATGATCCCCTCGATATTCGAACCTATGATCTGCCAGTCTCGCGCGCGAACACACGACCTCTAGACCATTGGGCTGGCATCCAACCGTGTTGATGTCTAACTTCAACCAATCCACAAAATTGAGCCCCCGATAGATCCTGGGTTCGAATCTCGCGTGGCGGGATCGTGGATGCGCACTGCCGAGGAGTCTCACAATAGGACGAAACAGCCTCCCAATGCTTCCAGGTTTTTCATGGTGGTCTAGTACTAATTGACTCATGAATTCAACTATTAAATTATAAAGTATTACTGGTTTTAACAGATTAACTATTTTTCCATTTTGTCTTAAACTCAATAAAGAAATCCATCAATATGACCTCAAAGGATCTTTATTTAAGAGTGTTTATAAGGCCGTAAATAGTTTTCTAAATGTTCCCTAACATCTTCCAAGATTTCGGTCTGCATTTACTAAATGACTTTTAAACTTAGAAAGAACTAACTCCAAGTAATCAAACATTTGTAGTGGATAGTACAATTACTCTGAAGGATATATAAGAACACTGGTTTAATTTTTTGTATCACAACTTTAAACGAGTAGTAAACAAATATCGAGGTGGTAGAGAAGATTTGAAGCTCAACTGAGTGATTTTGGTGGAGTTTTGTTTAATCGAGGAGCTTTCATCATTCTTCTGAACGACATCATCAGCACAAACTTCAGATAGAAGTGAAATGTTCGAATTTCTCCATATGTGTTTCAAAGCTTGTTCTGTGCACCTCGATGTTGATTGGTTCATGTTAACATTAAATTTGTCATTGTTTACTTCTTTGTTTTGGTTTTGTCTCCCATTGGTTTGGTTTTTGTTCCTATATTTGTGCATAATTTTCCTGATTGTTTGGTAAATTGGTTTGATTTCAATATGCTTGTTGATTGCTGATTGACCTGAGTGACAGGCTTCTAAAAATCCTTTAGTGTTTTTGGAGTTTCCTCTGTCAAAGATTTCCACATTTTTCCAATCGAATGAGTGTCCGCAGTTGTTTACGTGTATTGATATAAGTGAGGAGATATCATGGCGTTTTACTGCTAATTGATGTTCGTGTAGGCGAAGGTGAAGAGGGTGTCTGCTTTGTTCGATGTAGTGTTTTTCGCAGTTGGCACAATTTATTTTGTAGATAATGTTTGGTTTGTTTTCCTTTGTTGTTTCATCCTTTGGTTTGCATAGGATTGATTGTAGTGATTTTGTCGGTTTGTGCCACACCTATCCCGAAGGTTTTCAGCAGTCTGGTTATGGTTTCTGATATTCCTTGTATGCATGGTAGGGCGATCCTTTTGTTGATTTCTCTGCTTGACTTGGGTTCTGATGCTGCGTGCGGTTGGTACCAACACTTCACTTCTATCTGAAGTTTGTGCTGATGATGTCGTTCAGAAGAACGATGAAAGCTCCACGACCAAACCATCCAGCTCAGAGAACAAAACTCCACCAAAATCATCCACCTGAGCTACAAACCTTCTACACCATCTCAAAATCATAAACATGAAACAATAAATGTACTGTTACTATTGATTATTATTAATTACTATTTGTTTATGCTTTTTTGTTGTTATCTAAATGAATATATATACTTATAGAACTGTGGTAAAATCTCATTGGTTGAATGTACTTTAGTTGAAGATACCACAACAGAATTATTCAATGTGGATGATGAAGGTAAGTCTTAAGACGAAAGTAATTACATGTTTAATTGTTTTTTTCTTTGACATTGATTACATAAAGAGAAATTTTTAAAAAAATAATTCAATTTACAGATGAAAATGTACAGAATGACTTGATCTTTCAATGATGAACCTCATCGATTTGATATAGAATTCAAGTTTTTTCAGATATATCGATAAATTATCTGATGACTCAACTAATGGCTGACAACAAGGTAACCACTCCTGTCGTTTCTTTAAGTGGTTGAACAAGGTATATGGTGTAGTAATTACTATGAAACAAGAAATATAGGATGATTGCTCTATGGTCTAAGGGTTAAGTATTTGTGTATAAGACTGAAAGTTCTAGGTTCGATTCCCGTGTGCAAAGGTTTTGGGTGTACAGTACTGAGGAGCCCTTTATTAGGACGAGATGGCTGCTCTCTTATTGATATAATATAATACTATACTATTATATTATATGGATATTCTTTTCGCTAAAACAGTAAACTTAATTGTTTGTTTCTACCATTTTTCGTGTTGTCTTCTTCATGAATAATTATTCCTCTATTTTTTGAATATTTAGATCAATTGAATGTTACAAATGAACAAAAATGTCAACAAGACAATACAACACACATGACAAAAAACAATACAACACCAATAAATGTAAATACTAATGTTGAATTAAATACGCGTAATTCTATTCCAGTGAGTACACTTGGTACCACTTCTACTATTAATACTACTACAACGAGTAATAGTATTAGTAATACTACATATGAATTAGGTCAACAACTTCCACAGAATTTAAATAAACGTTACATATGTCCAGATTCAACACTTAATCGATATACCCATGTAAATAAATCAAATCAAATGGATTCAATATCAAAGTCTACAACAATAACAGGAACGGTACAACAACAATCGATTCCATGTCTCTCTCCACAACATAGACATTCTACCTCATTATGCATAGGAACTAATATTAGTAATAATGAGAATGAATTACATGATGTAGTGACAAACTGTTGTATTACACCAATATGTAGTACGGATAGTTATTCTCCTAGTAGTAATACAATCGATGAAGCTCGTGCAGTTTTAGTTACTACTGTTACTACAATGACAACTGCTAATATTATTACTACCACTACAATGACACCAACAATGAACTCTACAAATACTTCTTCTTCCTCTATTCTACATGGCCGTAATAATTCCAATGTATCATATTCAACAATAACTTCACCAATAATCACGACAATAATAACACCAGATATAAATATTACGAATACTAGTCCATTATTAACATCATCATCATCATCATGTATTCAACCGACAAGTCCATTATCATTTTCAATGTTACATAGATTAAGTAGTAACATGGGTTTATTTAATTCAATTAACAATAACAACAATAATAATACATGTATTAATGACAAAACAGATTATGGTAATTTAGATTTTCGTTTAATATGGGAACCAAAAAATGGTCAACCAACAAGTATATGGCTTGTTGCATCAACATTACAAGAGAAAGCTGCATGGTGTTCTGATATTAGTCAAGTAAGTTAGTTAGTTAGTTAATTAGTTGAACAAACAATATTGAAAACTCTGATAGTCTAACGGATTAGTTCATTTTGTCAAAAAACAATCTTAGATTTTTGAACTTATAATTAGGTAAGATTGTAAATTCATGCCCAACCCTCTTCCTTCATCCGGGCTTGGGACCGGCAGTTGCCCCCGGAGAGACCCCAGGCGGTGTTTTGCTCGCTTTGCTGCAAACTTTTCTAAGTAGTGATAATGCATATGGTTAGTACTTGGTTCAAATGGTTGGTTATCCGTAACATTTTGAAGATTTAATAAGTATGTTGTATTTGGTAGTTTAAACCACCTTTCAACTGATTTACTGAGTATCTTTTGTACATAATAATGTAGTTTTTTTTTACTGAGGATTTCATTTCACACAAATGATGAAACCACGAAACCATAGTCAACTATCAACAAACTAGTGTGGCACAGATTAATATGTGGGATGAAAAACATAAGTTTGATGGAAATTTAGGCCACAAATAAAGTTTCTAGTGAGAATTACATACAAATATGCAATGTTTACTTACTAAGTGAAATGAAATATGATTGAAAGTGACGAAAACAACACTTTTATTGATCATGTGAATTGATACAAATAGCCTCAATGATTTGTTTTACTGAATGGTTGAATAAGAATGTGTCAACTAGTGAATTTTAACTAAATGGTTCAAAAGATTTCATTCTCAACATTAAACCTGATGATTACTGATTTCGGTTAGAATTGGTGTTATTATTATTAATGGCATTATTCAATATTATATTTCGGGTACAATATAGAATTCTCAGCACAGAGTATTTCAACTGGTTTATATTTATTCAGATGTTTTGGACAACATCTTAGAGTTAGACAGTCGATAAAGTCATTTGAAAACTGAAAACACACAAACGAAGATCGACACCAGTTTATGTTTACAAACGTAGCTACACCCCAACCACAGCTCTTTTTATTGTTTGATCGATCCTGACGATAAATGTTGAAATCACGTAGTGATACTAAGCAGTCATCTTGTAAATCATTTAACCAAGATTCTTGAATTGTGATGACACCACAATTACGATACATGTTTTGACATAGTAGGAATTGCAGATAGTTCACTTTGTTGATTAGTGATCGGCAGTTAGAATTTAGCAGCTCGGGAATCGAAATACGATTAATGTTCATTGTCTTTAACGCAAATTGCCAACTACCACGATGTCTTTTATAGTACTTTTTTGTAACTTGTGCAGCGAAAGGTCGTAGGCTTGTCATAAAAGCGCCTGAATAGGTTATGCGATTAATGAAAAAACAGATAACTTGTTGAAATAATTAGATGACAGAAACAGGTAGCCCAGATATTTAAGCAGACCACCAATTACGTCTCGTTCTACCAGAACAAGATATACAAGGCGAAAGATAAGAGTGAAGTGGATGGTTAATATCTGATAAAATAACACTTGCCAGGAGTTTGCATGACTTTAGATGTCTATCCACAACCATAATAATTATAACATCGAGAGATTGACAACACATCTTGCTAACTACCTTCAGCACTCTCTGCAATACAGCAAAGTCTTTTCTCAAAAGCCCGGGAAAGAATAATGTAGAACAGTAAAAAATAATAGGTAATATGCAAGAATTGACAAATTGTAAGAGTAAATGACGAGTAGTCTTAAGAGCATGCAGTCTCTTTATGTAGTAAGTGAAACGGAAAACTTTCTTCGATAACAATAAAACGTGAGAAGACCAATAAAGATCAGAAGAAAAGGTGACACCAAGATAATTGACCTTCGACACTGTGTTTATCAAAGAGTCTCCAATGGCAGAAGCATTATGGGATCTCAAAGTGGTGTTTAGATGCCATTCATGTCTCATGTTAAAGTCAACAGCTTGACATTTAGACGGATTAAGTATGAGACCATTACCAACAGACCAACAATCAATACGAGACAAAAACTCATTCATTTCTATGGGATGTGAAGAGTTATAGATAGGCATACGTACAGTGAGATCATCGGCATATTTCACAAAAGTGTTTGCTATGATATTGCTTATATTCTGCTAAAAATAGTACAAAATAGCTACCAAGGATTCTTTGATTTAAGTTTTTGATCTTCATTTATTATGACAGATAGGTAGTTTTCGTCTCTTTCAGAAAAATAACTAGTTTGATGTAGAAAGTTCTTTTATGTCATCAACTACATCATCGAATATAGTTCTATTACATATATCTAATGTTTGTTTATTTTCTACGAATGATTCACATCAGATTAATGCTGTTTACCAAGAGATACTATATTATATATTAAGAACTGATTCTCAATAAAACAAATTGACCACAGCAACTGATTGATCACGTGCTTATCTCCGAGTTACACTCATTGTGTGAAGACTAGTAACACTACTCAATTAAGTAAATAAAAGTAGGTGGGATGGGATTCTAATCTGCTACTAAGGCAGTAAAAAAAAACAAAATATTATAATTATCCTAAAACAAAAGATCAATGAGTTGGATCAATCAACATATATATTATTATAAATATAAACAATATCTTGCAATGATCCGGAAATTTTACATTCTGGATAAAAACAAAGTCGTTAGACATAGAATATATAATTAGTGAATTTCAATTGATCACTAAACATGAATATTAATAGGATTAATTTAACTAGATTACGATTTATACTTGTTATCAATCAACCACGAAATTACTTACTTACTTACTTACTTACTTACTTACTTACTTACTTACTTACTTACTTACTTACTTACTTACTTACTTACTTACTTACTTACTTACTTACTTACTTACTTACTTACTTACTTACTTACTTACTTACTTACTTACTTACTTACTTACTTACTTACTTACTTACTTACTTACTTACTTACTTACTTACTTACTTACTTACTTACTTACTTACTTACTTACTTACTTACTTACTTACTTACTTACTTACTTACTTACTTACTTACTTACTTACTTACTTACTTACTTACTTACTTACTTACTTACTTACTTACTTACTTACTTACTTACTTACTTACTTACTTACTTACTTACTTACTTACTTACTTACTTACTTACTTACTTACTTACTTACTTACTTACTTACTTACTTACTTACTTACTTACTTACTTACTTACTTACTTACTTACTTACTTACTTACGCCTGTTACTCCTAATGGAGCATAGACCACCGATCAGGATTCTTCAATCCACTCTGTCCTGGGCTTTCTTTTCTAATTCCATCCAATTCTTGTTCATTTTTCTCATGTTTATTTCCGTTTCCCGGCGTAATGTGTTCTTTGATCTTTCTCATTTTCTTTGGCCTTGAGGATTCCATGTGAGGGCTTGTTTTGTGACGCAGTTGGGTGAATTCCTCAATGTGTGAACTATCCACTTCCAGCACTTCTTTCTGATTTCTCCCTCCGCTGAAAGCTGGTTTGTTCTTTTCCACAGTTGGTTGTTACTAATAGTGTCTGGCCAACGGATCCGAAGTATTTTGCGTAGACAACTGTTAATAAACACCTGTATTTTCTGGATGATGGCTTCCGTAGTTCTCCAGGTTTCCACCCTATACTGTAGAACTGTCTTGACATTTGTAGTGAAAATCCTGACCTTGGTGTTGGTTGACAGACAGTTGTTTTGAATTCTAGATGTTCCTCTGTAAATATGCTGCTCTTGCTTTACCGATCCGCGCTTTCACATCTGCGTCAGACCCACCATGTTCATCAATGATGCTGCCCAAATATGTTAAGGTTTTTACAACTTCTAAATCTTCTCCGTCAATTGTGACTGGATTGGTGTATGCTGTGTTGTTGAATCTTGCTTTTCCCTTTGTTGAGTGAATCTAAATAGTACAAAGTCACCCACCCCAAAAAAATACACTTTGAAATGTTGTTGGGTTCTGATTAAATCATGACAACCTTTTATAAAGAAAAAAGTTCTTTGTTCTCGATACCAGACTGAACATGGTTACATGATAAATTGGACTCAATTTTCGATAGTGCAGTCGAGAAAACAGTAAGGAATAATTAGTAGGTGGAATCAAAGTGCTATTAATTTTACAATATAAGCTAGTCTCTTATTATGTAGTCTAGTTGGATTGTCTGTTTTTTATCTTTTATCAATAACCGGTTAGTCTGATCATACATATCACTTTTAAATGTGTCAACACGATTGATCTCAAATCTGTTTCATTACAGACAGAAAATATCTGTTATTAATCATTTGTGTCAATGGTTTTAAGTAGGTCGGTTTTCACCAAGTATTGAAATTATTTAGAAAATAATAGGACTTAGCAGTTACTTCTCGTGATTATGAGATTTAAAATAATGTGAATCCATAACTCATCACTTGATCCAGTTCAAAGAACATAAGACTTATCATGGGCGAAATATTCTCGAACCTCTGATATATAATTCAGTAATCTACATAACTGACATTGATTATTTTGCTTACAAGTGTTTTCAGTTACTGAGACATTTACAATCTGATGACGATAAGATGATTGTTACAATCTGTCGTTAAATACCAAAATTTGGTTTCTAGTTCTGTCGTCAACAGGTATCATGACTACTACATGATCCGAAAGCCCTTAATTTACATTTGACAGATCGGATGATTCCAAACCGATCACATGTCATCTGAAAGCTATGTTGAGACGAGAAGTGGAAACTTACTAGGGCTTGCAGGTAACCACATTTTTGTGTGGCACACTTTATATATATATATGATTGATGTACCAAATAATCCGAGTTTTGAGATGAAACTTCCTGTGCTTCATCAGTCCATTTACCCTTACACAGTTGATTTGGTCATGAATTCAGGAGGCGCATATATTGTGATTTTATCAGACTGATAGATCGTAACAACATCTTTTGTGAATTCATGGGTGAGGTACCTATCACGAGTCTCAAGTAGGATAAGACATCTGGTACATTTGGTACTCAATAACTCTTCAGCTGATATTGTTCCGCGTCTGAAAAAAACGAACTTGAAAGTAAGTAATTTATGTAAAAGTCTTTTCCAGATGTTTGAAATCTTCTACTGTTGATACCAAAGACTACAACTAACACGTCTTCGTTGGTTTATATGAATCTCGAGCACATTCTTTTGATGCCGGTTTTTAGTTACATGTTCAAAAAATTATTTGTAATAAGCGACTTTTAATAACGCTTCGACATTTAAAGTAATAAGCTCTAGATTCGAAACTCAGTTAGAGCACCGACATTCGAATTCAAGTATATCGCCAAAAAACAAGCCCTTGATAGAATGAAACTCACATCCTACATTCTACTGCCAGCCACAATCCTGATATATTAATAACCTATAGTTTGAGAAGATTAAAACCAGTAACCGGTATTGTTCATAATTGAACCCTAACACGAAGATTTCATTAAGTTTTGCTTTTAGAAATAGATTTAAAATTGATTAGTCACTAATCCATGATCAAAATCATATGTAGTTAGTTATTTATTAATGATCATATCCTGTTAATGAAGTTACACTATTGTCACTAACTTAAGTAAATCAATATCGTATGCACTGTCAAGTGGTTAGAAATTAGTTGGAAGTAAACCCAATTTGACTTAAGTTAAATGCTAATTAGCACTATCCTGATGGTCCCATTACTACTTGATCAATAAAATTTTGACAAGCACTGAAGGAATAGTAAGTACATTGATCTTACTAAAAGTCAGTTACTATATAAATATCACATTGGTAACATTACAGACAATAAAATTGATTGAAATGAGTTTGAATAATTCAGGAAACATTAATTCCTTCAAGATTTGTAGATATGCTTTGCCGATGAATGCTAATTAATATTTCAAGTAGGGTTTATTGCTGACTACCGACAATCTACCTACAACATATATGTGTATATATCTGTCTATGTTTATATTGTCTTTATTAGATATAATGAGTTTTGTCTCTAACTGATAGCTCATTCATAACTTGAAACTATAAATATGATTATTGTTGTCATGTAATTTTTTTTATTATTTATTTTTGACTGATCGATCGATTGATTATTTCCTGGTTGACTCAATTTATTTTTGATACATGCCTAAATTAAATTGTGATAAACGCCATATTCGAATATGTCGATAATAATAAATATCAGACTAAATAATTTTGTTTCCAACCAGTTAATTTTATTTTTAAATTATCACATGGATATTATTGATTTTTAGATTTGGTTTTTACAAATAAAACTTTCGAAAAAAAAACATTTTGAGACGTAGCAAATATTATAATGATCAGTATAGGTATTGTAAACTTTTACTAAGATCATGAATAGATCTTAGTTGGATAATCATTAAAAATCTGGAAGTATTGGATAGTTGTTTACGTCGTAGTATGGGACTTTGCAATAGTGTGTACATCCATGGGAACACTACACAAATTTGGACCTAGGACGTTTGGTCTAGTGATTGAATGTTTATTTCCAGACCGCTGGAGCGCAATCTAATGATATACATGCTCAACTTAAATCAATACGTGATATGACACAGCCACAACAAGCCCCTTAAGTGCACTGGTACGGCCGAGAGAGGGGAGAGTTCGCTCTCCCTCTCGAAATCCTCTCATATGGCCACGCGTATATTGCCTCTGCCAGGGAAGTCCTACTCACTGCCTTCTCGTGGCGGGGGTGTTGTTTACGAAAATGAGAGGACGAAAAGCGAATGTCCGGCACTTTGACCGGATCCCAAACCAATGGTGCACATGGGCTCCAGTATCCTAAAGGAACAAATGACGTATGAACCAATTGTTGGTCACCGGCTTCCATGGGACTGCATCTTCTTACGATGCTCCACTGCCTTGTGGATCAGACCCTCAGGTCGAAGGCTCTGGGTGTGGCCCCCTAAGATAACCACCTGCTTCGGTTTGGGCATCCGGGCAGTATCACAGCCCTCACACATATCGAATGAGATTTGTGTGGCGCATATGTATTTGGTGCCTCTTTGTACCAATATCTATGTGTTGAAATAAATAAATTACACAGCCATCTCTTATTGTCCGAGGTGAAAATGTCCCTCCAACTCGACTCAACTATACTCTACTAATCACGACTTATTAGAAATTTAAACATGTCCTCTTGAAGCTATGCAATGGTGATCACATGATAGTTATCAGTTAGATTATCGAGATTGTTGAACAGTAATAATGATGTTTATATTATGATGTGTCCCATTTGTTTTCTTCTCACACGATACGTACTGTTGAGGAAGACCTCAAATGGTCTAGTTTTGTTCATTATTGTTGAAGTTAACTATAGTTCTGACGAGAGAGAAAGCCTTTGGTAGCATTTTTTCCATTCATATTATCCCATCAACCTAATATCTTTTGCTTTACATAGTTCACTGTCTTCGTTACATGTCACGTAGTCTTAGTTGTTGCTGATATAAATACAAGTAGATATGCGCCACACAAATCCCATTTGATCTATGTAAGGGCTGTGATACTGCCCGGGTGCTCAAACCGAAGCAGATGGTTTTCTTAGAGGGCCACTCCCCGAGCCTCCGACCTGAAGGTCTGATCCACAAGGCAGTGGAGCATCGTAAGGAGTGCAGTCCCATGGAAGCCGGTGATCAACAATTGGTTCCTACGCCATTTGTTGTTTCAGGATACTGGAGCCCATGTACACCATTGGTTTGGAATCCGATTAAAGCGCCGTACGTTCGCTTTTCGTTCTCTCATTTTCGTAAACAACACCCGTGGTGCGAGAAGGCAGTCAGTAGGACTTCCCTGGCAGATGCTGTATACGCGTGGCCATATGAGAGGATTTCGAGATGGAGAGCGAACTCTCCGCACTCTCGGCCGTACCAGGGCATTTGGGGACAAACCTGGAAGCACTGGACGGCAGTTTCGTCCTATTGTGGGACTCCTCAGCAGTGTGCGTCCACGACCTCGCCCCTTGCGAGATTCCCACCAATAAACTAGTCGTTTTGCGCATGAGCACTTAACCACTAGACCACTGAGCCTACCAACAAAATCAAAGGGGTAACCAAAGATCTTCTTGACAATTGTCTAAATTAATGCAACTATTAAAAGAAATCATTTGTAATCAGCTAGTCCCCTCTTTTATGTTATCATTTCAATACATCATGTTCTGAGTAATGACTAAAGAATTCGGTACTGAACTGTAATAAGATCATTTTTTTCAAAGAAGTTTTAATAGTTATTTCATATTGTTCTTTTTTTCATTATAAATACTCCATCTTTAGTGTATTGAACAATTGCATTATGGAGATATTTTAAATTCAGCTCAATCGGATGTTTCTTCTGTAGCAATGCCTCAATCTATTCGGTAAGTATATATTTGATCAGCATTATTATTATTATTATTATTATTATTATTATTATTATTATTATTAGTGCTATCACTAATATTTCCATTTTGTATTGTTTGTTTAAATCTTCCCGTTGATGTTTAAGACTGAGATTGATCAGTCTTTTATTGGCATATGTACATCCTGTGGTATCAGTCCTTGAAGTCACTAACTTCTAGTCTGAGCCGCGTTGGTAGTGCAGACTACTTGATTGGGGTCCGTGTGACTATCGTAACCAATGGTTGGAGACTCTTGGTAATATGGCTCAGAATCGGTCACAGTGGCAAAGGTGAATACACTCTCTGTCTTCCCTTGAACTAAGAGATTAAAATCGCTTCATCTTTCTTTCTACGAACGAATTCTTTCTTCATGTACTATATCATTATTGCAATCTTTCTTTTATATATTACCACAACTGAATTAGCTACTTTTATGAATCCTGTGTCCATCTTGTTGTGTTATTGAGGTATGGCAACTTGGACTGATGCATATATGTGCCTGATCCTACGTTGTAGCTGACTGACTGACATAAATTATTCATAAGTAGTACATTACCAGAGTAATACTGGAATAGTTAATTAATGACAAATCTGGAATAATAAAACATACAACATTGATTTATAACTCAAACAAAAGCTTAGAAATAAGAGAGTACAAAAATACAACAGTTTAAGGGTCTAGCAATTACACAATAATAGTATAAATAATGATATTTTACATGGTATATCATTTATAACGATAGTAAATACAAATTCACTAAAAATACATGATTTTAAAACTCATTCCAGCATTAGACTCCTCCGCGGTTTCGACGAGACTATAATTTATAGACGAACTAATCAGATTCAGGATAACAGGTTTTGGTACGAAGTTCATTCATCCATTTGGCTAAATAGCGTTTTGGCATTATAGCTTTAACCGGGTTGGTGGACATGGAGAGTCCACCTAGGGGAGTTGGAAAACCCTGATTCCAAACCAATGGTGCACATAGGCTCCAGTATCCTGAAACAACAAATGGCGTAGAAACCAATTGTTGATCACCGGCTTCCATGGGACTGCACTCCTTACGATGCTCCACTGCCTTGTGGATCAGACCTTCAGGTCGGAGGCTCGGGGAGTGGCCCCCCTAAGAAAATTACCTGCTTCGGTTTGAGCACCCGGGCAGTATCCCAGCCCTCACATAAATCGAATGATTTATGTAGCGCATATCTATTTGGTGCCTTTTTGTACCAATATGTATGTGTTAAAATAAATAATAATAAACTTTATAGCTGATATCAGTTCGTGATGAAAATCTTAAATCTAAATCCTAAACTTAACAATCAACTGTAAATCATAATGTTTATTCTTCACATAGGTTTACAATAATCATTTAGCCTTAGTTAGTAGGTTGACGTTCCCAAAGACACTTATCATCGCTCAAAAAATCATCCATAAATAATAGTCTCACTGTGATTTCCATTAACGATCCATCCAGGAACGGAATTCAGAACCTTCAGGTTTCGGGACATGAACTCTGAGCTATCATCCCATGTTATACATTTTCAATCTTAATTTTTAGCATGGTAAAAAAGATTAACTAATCCCACTGATGATGATGACTATTTCTATCAGAATGGGTTTTGTGGAGATTTTCAGAAATTTTACAAGTTGAAATCATGAGTCAATTGAAGCTAGACCACCATGGAAAACCTGGAAGCACTGGACAGCCGTTTCGCCCTGGTATGGGACTCCTCAACAGTGCGCATCCACGACCCCGCACCTCGCGGGATTCAAACTCAGGACCTACTGGTTTCGCGCGTGAGCACTTAACCATTAGATCACTGAGGAGTCCCATACCAGGACGAAACGGCCGTCCAGTGCTTCCAGGTTTTCCATGGTTGTTTAGCTTCAATTGACTCATGATTTCAACTCGTGAGATGACTATTTCATTATGGACACGCATAAACAACCCCCGGTAATAATTTATTGTAAGATCTTTGAAAAATCATCTCAACTTATGTGTTCAATGCTACCTCCAACTAAAATCAATCTATGATAGATACAATTTTAATGTATAAAAGAAATTGGATAATGTTTTCCAGTATTATGTATTCAAAATCAATCAATTGGAATGAATATGTAATTTGAAGAATTCAACTTTTTGTTTTAACCAGTTACTACCAGAAACTAAATCATATTTAACCTTATTACTATTTTATTATTATTATCAGCTTTATTCAATATTATTAGTTTGGTACAATATAGAATTCTCAGCACAAAGTATTTCAACAAGTTTCCGTTTCTTTCTTCTTAGCCGATCCTGACGATAAATATTGAGTAGTTGCCAGTTAGATGCTAGCAGTTCAGTCAATCGACATCTAAATAATATACATTCTTTTCGATGCATATTGCCAGCAACCACATTATCTCTTATTTAGGCTTTTTGTAACTTTGACAACGAAAAGTTGCACACTTTTCAGAAACGCAGCAGAATAGGTTATGCGATTAATAGACATAATGATATATTAAAACAAACAAAAATAGATAACTTGTTGAAATATCTAGATGGCAGGAACTGGTAGCCCAGATATTCAACCAGACCGCCAATCTAAACTTGAATCATTTGATTCTGGTTAATATTATTGATTGTTTACCTTTTTTTGTTTAAAAACCAATAAAAGTAAATCACTCATTTTATTTTATTTTATATTATTATTAAAATGTTTAGATCGGATCCAAAATTGTTTAAAGATGATGTAGATATTAAATTTAGTCATACATTGAATTCATGTAAAGTACCACAGGTGAGTAAAACAAACACATTTTGAATCATATAGATTTAATTTAATGGTTTATAAAATTTATTCAATATTCTAGAATTTGTTCTGAGATTAGAATTTGTGGACGATCTTTGAATGATACCAAAGTAACCTTGAGAAAACTCACGTACCTAGTAGGTTCTGAACTTACTTACTTACGCCTGTTAGTCCTCGTGAAGGAGCATTAGCCACCTACCAGAATTCTCCATCCAACCCTGTACTGGTCAATCATTTCCAGCTCTTTCCACTTGTTATTCATCCTTTACATATCTGCTTCTGTTGCCCGATGTAATGTGTTTTTTGGCCTCCTACTTTTTCGCATCCCTTCACGATTCCGGGTTGAGGCTTGCCTCGTGATGCAGTTTGATGATTTGCGTAATGTATGTCCTGTCCATTTCCATCGTCTTTTCCTGATTTTTGCTTCAGCTGGAAGCTGGTTTGTTCTCTCTCACAGAAGGCTGTTGCTAATGCTGTCCGACCATTGGATGTTGAGTATCTTGTGTAGACAACCATTTATAAATACTTATACCTTCTTGATGGTGGTTTTTAGGTTCTGAACTGGGTAATAGTTTGTTGTGAAGAATCAGAATACGTTATTTGTCCATGTGGATGAATGTATTTCACATCAAGATCCAAAACTCATTATCTTAGATCCCATTGATTTGTCCATAAATTGTGGTCTAAACGACTTTATTCTCACCAATTTTTTATGATGTTTTTCATTGAGATCTTGAACCAATTGATGTTAGATCACTGTTAGAAACCTGGAAGCACTGGATGGTTGTTTCGTCCTATTGTGGGACTCCACAGCAGTGCGCATCCATGATCTCGCTCGCGGGATTCGAACCCAGGGCCTTCAGTCTCGCACGCGAGCGCTTAACTTACAGAACCACTGAGTCGGCATCCAATGGTGATAGTGTCCAACATCAACCAAATCACGGAATTGCACAACCATCTTCCATTGTACTGAGGTAGACACCTGTTTCTACCCGACATGGATTAGTCTTATGATGTACTACTTCATTTTAATCAGTAGTTGAGATTATGTTTCACAATTATTTTAAAGGTTGTAACCAGTTTTGAAAACAATTAGTTCCATTTATATATTTTCATTGAGTAAAGAGAAGACGGGGATGATTTAGAAAATATTTTATATTTAGGCAGCAAATTTTAAGTAAACATACGATCCTTACAATAAACCATTAATCTTAACTACTGTTAGTTGTATTTGAAGTTTGTCTGTTACTTACAAGATAGAAACTCATTGATATAATACACGGAAGACTTCAAACGAAATCGAACCTAGGTGTTATGGCTTGAGATTGCTAACCAATATCGTGTATTAATTCATCAATTAGGAAATTTTAATACTAATTCTTTTTCCATCGTGTCTAATATTTCTTCAATGGCCTAGTATCCCCATATTGACCAATTACATACCCTGGGACGAAAGCTAAGTTCTTATTGATCAGTTGTTCGTAAACCCCTTTCTACACGACTCAGCCTCTAAATTTATTATATTTCAAATAGGCGTGGTTTATGTACCGATATACTAGACTGCATTATACCATAAAATGAGAAATCACAAATATACATAAACGAGCCAAAAGTGGCTGTGAATAATCGATTGGCAATGAGTAGTATAACGGTAGTCAATGTGTTACCGGAAGCTTATGACTAGTCGGATAGATATTTATGATTATTGATTTATTCAGTAACTACAGAACAAGATGATAATAAACAGTAATTCAGAAAACCGGTTTCAACTTTCACAATGTTCCTTGTATGATAACACTAATACGCTGCTTTTAGACTACTGATTCCGGATTGAATTTTCAATGTTTGCAATCGTAGTCAAGTTTTAGGGATTGTCTGATTAGTCGGATCACTATTCTATTGAATCCGTTAATATAAAGCTCGATTTATGTCTATGAGACTGTTGGCCTTTGTTTAACCAAAGTGCTCACTAAGTGTGTTGATGACTATTGGCCTATTCAGATAACTTCTTTCTCAAACTACTCACTCAAAGCAAGAGAACAACAAACCTGTTTACTTTCCTAATGATACGAAAACTCATTATATGTATGCTACAAACGATAATGCACTACGAATTGGAAACCAATATAAGTAAATAACAAGGTCATTCGTGGGAAAAATAGTTGAGAAACTGTGAAGACAGTCCAAAGGTGAACTCCAGGAAGCCCTAAGAAGCTCAGAAAGAGCCAAAGATATTCCATCTAATCATCTTTTGGAAGAATGTTCCAGAATCACCACATGGAACTGTTAATAAATGAAACGAAAGCTTAAAAGTAGGGTAATATAAAAATACCGTCAACAAAATAGTCAGTAAACCTACAATAAGAATGTAATTAATCATTCATCTTTGAAAAGTCATTAATGTTCCAAATTTCCCATTTATTCTTCATTATCCTACATTTATATGACTCTTCTTGTTCGACACTTATAGAGCAACGTAATAACACTTAACGTCCAATGTTAAATAAGGTGTACAAAATTGACATACTACATCTATACTGTTAAGTGAATTAGATCAATGGTAATATTTTGTATGACGGGTTTACAGAGACTGTTGAACTGTGTAATTTATGCTACAAACTGACTTTAGTCAGACGAAAGTTGAAAACCAGGAAGCATTGCACAACTTTTTCGTTCTGAAATGGGACTCCAAGAAAGTGGTGTGTGCTACTGATGTCGACAGATATAAGTAGTATGTACCACCAATCAGAAGTGGAATGCCTGGAGGTAGAAGGTTGAGAAAATCAAAGAGAACGAGAGCAGAGATTGATTGTTATGGAAACGAAGGAACAACAAAGTCTGAGACAATCGATGGATATTTTGCAAACGAACCATTTACTGTATGGTTCTCAGATTTGACTAAGACATTCTACAATGTTGTATTAAAATACATTCGTTTGTACTCAATTGTATTCTGGTTCACTACAGTGTATATTTATTATCACATCGGGAATCAAGCCTACGACTTTAAAGTCTTTTGTTGAATTCTAAGGCATTAGAAATTTGAGTTGGCACCCAATGGTATATATGTGTAATTTAAATCAGTCTATGATATTGTCCAATGATCTTTATTATGTTATTGGTGGGTAACTGCCTCACATCCGATATAGTCGAACTTTACTAGTCATAGCTATTCACTAGAATTGCGGATTGGGTCTCCAGTGGCACCATGGATATGCATTTCTGAGTAGTCCCATACTAAAATAAAAGAGCTGTCTAGTGCTTCCTTTTTTTCAATGGTTGTCTAACTAAGATCAGTCCATCATATACACTTAATAATTTTTTATTGTTGATGATAATCTATCGTTTAAAGTCTTTTTCCTGTTTACTATTTTCCTATCTTTTCTTAAATGTCAGATTCGTTATGCAACAGTTAGTCGTTTACTTGATCGACTAACTGATGCCAGATTCTTATCCATAGACTTTTTGAATACTTTTCTACTTACCTACCGTGTATTTACCACTGGTCTGTCAGTGATATGGGCATTAAATCAAGTTCTAGCAAATCCAGATATAGAAAATGGTGGAAATGCACCACATTCTAATCAAAATCAATCATTTACCTAGTGAGTGTTTACTACTTTTTCACGTTGTTACTATGCAACTTTTAAAAAACTTTTTGTTACGAGATATTATTCTAAAATAACTTGTGGGTAATTCTGAATTACGAAACTGTCAGGAGATTCTCCGAGTATTATATGGGATCTTCGCTGACTACAAAGACTGGAAACCTAATAAAATGGAGCTTTAACGATTGTACTTTGCCCGACTGAAGAGAAAGAATTCGGGAAAGTCAGAGCTGAACTAGAGCAAGTCTGTTTATGAAGTAACAACTATAAACTGGGTATACCACAAAAACAACAAACTACAAAGAGAAAGTAAGTGATCAGATAACATCAAAGGTCAGTGGGATAAAATGAAATTTAAAAAGTTATCGAGATCTTCCTTGACCCTCAAACTATTATTTATCCGTGAAATAGAAGGAGATCAGAAAATTTAAGATTTTAGGTGATCGTAGGAGAAAGTGAAAATTCAAACAGGAAGTTTCGTTTCTATCAAAACTGCAGATACATCATGTTTATTAAGTGATTATGAACATGAAATGTAGGTCTATGTGTTTCCATGCATTAATCTTAAGCATTTAAATTGAAACACAATGAATAATGACGTTTAGACTACTGGCTTCACTGATCTGTTTGATTAACGGATGTTGTGGGGATTCATGAATAAACTACACATGACACTAGTTTCTACTCTGCTCCTCCAAACAGTTATAATTTCATTATAACCAATTCACGGAGTGAGAAATTGGAATTTAGAAAAAACCTTAGGTTAGTTGTATTCTCTTATTTACATCGCGTAATGAATTTTAGTTAGATAAATCCTTAAAAATCGAGAAATATTGAAAAAATCATCAACAGTATACATTCACAACTTCTCCAGGAATCGAGCCCAGGACCTTCAGGTCTTCCGGTGAGCTCTCAACCTTCAGATCCCTGAGTCGAAATACATTGGTTTGTATGTCTGAATTAAGTTAACCTATGATGTTTTACAACTATCTTCCAACGCCGTTGGTAGTTCATGATACTCGAGATGATTGAACTTTACTGATCACAGCTTCTTTCTTCTTCAAGTCTCATGATTTTATATATTCTTCAATCGTATTCAGAAATTTATTCACAATCCATATTACCAATCATATCGATGAAAATATAGCGTCGTACTGAAGATAATATTTGTAGAGTTGTGACTGCTGAAGATTCTACTTAATATCAAATGTTATTTTGATTCTGATTTAAATGAAGCACCATAACTTTCATCCGTCTTATGTTAATTTCTAAGCCATGACTACTGGAATTTAACCATATCGGCTATGAGTCATTTATTCATCATAGGAAACGGATGAGAGTTATGCAATAACGTGAATTGATTGAAGTTAGACATTAACACCGTCGGATGCCAGCTCAGTATCCAAGAAGTCAAGCACTTGTGAGTTAAACCAAAGGTCCTGGGTTTAATCCATGTAAATGAGGTCGTGTATGGGCACACTATTGATTGTACAATATGTAAGCTAAATAACAACAATGTAATACATTCTTTGTCTTTTTTTGTTTTTTTGTGTTTGAAATCTATCCTAAGCTCTCATTTTGATAATCCTGAACAACGTGATCGATTATATACAGCTAGACCATCAGAAATTTCATTGAATATAAATCGTTTACCTGTTTTAGAAGAAACTGTACATAGTAACACTGATGATATATCATCAAGTTCAAATTCTATTACACAAATAGAAAATCAATTAGAAACTAATAATACTACTAATAATAATAGTAATATAATCAATAGTATATCAAATCAATTAATGACAAATTTATCATTAAACAAACAAGATTCATTGATGAACAATGACATTTCAATCACTTCATCTCCATTACCAACAACAGTTCACGGTACTACTGCTACTACCACTACTACTACTACTACTACTACTACTACTACTACTAATAATAATAATAATAATAATAATAATAATAATAATAATAATAATAATAATAATAATAATAATAATAATAATAATGTATCAATGAAATTACATAAAAAATCAATTCCTCGTCCATTATCTACATCAGAAACAGTTAAATATTGTTCACCTTCTATAACAATATCAAATATAATGAGTCGATCAGCAATTAATGATAATCATAGTTCATCATTATTATTTGATAAACAATCTAATAAACATTTAATGAATAAAAGTTTTCAATCATCTACAATTGTAACTATTCCAATTCAAACAACATCTACAACGATGTTAATTCCACGTTCACCTATTTATAGTAAATTTGTTGATTTAAGAGATGATCCACCATTAGAATTACCTATTTTACCAGATATAAAAACAGTGAGTTATTATTATTGATTGGTTGGTTCTTATTAACAGAATATTAGTTACAATAGGTATATGTGTATTAGCTTGTACAAGTTTGTATGTATCTGTATACCCTGAAGTAACAAGTAAAGAGTTTTTAATTTATTGATTGAGATCTTGAACCGATTGATGTTAGATCACTGTTGGAAACCTGGAAGCACTGGGTGGCCTATTGTGGGACTTCACAGCAATGCGCATCCACGAGCCCGCTCGCGGGATTCCAACTCAGGGCTTTTAGTCTCGCGCGCGAACGCTTAACCTACTAGACCAATGAACCGACATCCAGTGGTGTTAGTGTCTAACATTGCACGACAATCTTCCACTGTACTGAGGTAGATACCTGTTTCTACCGGACACGGATTAGCTCCACTGGTCACGGCTACTGAGGAGTCCCACAATGGGACGAAACGACTGCTTAGTGCTTTCAAGTTTCCAACACTGGTCTAGCATCAAACGGTTCAAGATCTCAATCAATAAATTAATAATCTCCACATACTCTATACTGATGAAAATTTTTAGGATAGGTTTCTTTCCACCAAATGACGAGTGGTCCAAATCAAAGTCTACTTTGAAGACTGAGAGTGTGGGAGTGAAGTAAGTTGATTACTTATATTTGGAATTTAATCAACTGTGATAAGATCCCTAAAAAAACTCTCTTGACATTTACCAACTTATGTTAGTTGCAGTTTAAGGGAGATATCAATCTGTTAACCTAAAGGCGATTATACTACACAGAGACTTAATCTATATTACTATATTGTGGTGAAGTATGGCCTTTATAAGTAGATATGCATAGATTGAAAGTATTTAAATTATAATTGATGTCACTCAACTCTTTCACTTCACCTATTATTAAATCGGATGTATTTAATCTGTCTCCATTAGTTTGGAACTACTATGTTAATTTCATACCTGTAGAGATAGCTGACATTTTAATCAATGTGAGCAGTGACCAGTAGAGTTCAACCGGGTCTGTTGTGAGATAGTAACTCACTGATGACAATGATGGATGTGTCGCTCAATTTCGTGGATTAGTTGAAGTTACACATTAACACCGTTCAATGCCAGTCGGCTAAGTGGTCTAATTGTCAATTGCTTGTGCACGAAAGTGGTAGGCCCTGGGTTTGAATCTCGAGGTGGGCGGGGTCGTGGGTGCGCACTGCTCAGGAGTCCCATACTGGTATTTCCAGGTTTTCCATGGTGGTCTAGCTCCAATTGACTCATGATTTTGACTTTACATACTTGATTTTCAGGACGATAATAATTACAGTAATAGTGATACAAAACTTCTGTTAAACATGGTAACAGTAATGTAGAATAAACAAAGATATTATAAAGACTTTTTAGACAGAGTAACTAATATAAGGATGGTGGAGAAGATTTATAGCTTTTGATGGAGTTTTGTCCTATGAACTGGATGGTTCGGTCATCGAGCTTTCATCATTCTTCTGAAGTGTGTGTGGATGATGTCGTTCAGAAGAACGATGAAAGCTTCATGACCAAATCATCCAGCTCAGAGAACAAAAATTCATCAAATTAACTAATAATAGTTTTATTGTTAAAGCCTTGAATCTTCATCATGAGGATAAATGGGGAAATTGTAATCAGGGACGGATAGCTCAGCATGCTAAAATAAGATGTTGAAATTGTAATAAATTATAATCATGAGGATCATAGGAAACATAGATAAACCAGTTGAGGGTAGAAGATCTATGAAGAAGATGGAAGGGGTAGCAGATGGCTGTAGAGGAAGGAAGATATAAAAAAAAGAAAATAAGAAAGAGAATTATGAGATATTAGGACCATGGTAAGAGAAGAGGTTGTACCATTTCCTTTTGGATACACAATCCTGGTTTTCCCTGATATATGGCTATTGATTCGTCAATGTTAACAAGATCCAATATAACTGCCTTTGGCAGCCTTCTACTTACCTTGTTGATGATTTTGAACACAGAGTCCGCCTTGGTTAAGTGACCTATGCTCCCAAGATGTTCGATTATGAGGCTTTTTGTTGAACCGTTTCCGTCTTTTTCAACCATTCAGGGTGATGATCTTGAATTATTTTGGATAAAGTACACATTGAACGACCTGGCAAATAACTTTATTTATTCTACTTCACTGTTTAACACAAGTTTATTATCACTAATACTGTAACTATTGTGATGATTATAATCATCCTGTAAAGTAAGTATGTACAGCTTTGAAAATGTATTCACCAAACAGAGAACCCTTCAGTGAATTAATCTTTCTTATTGATGTTTCACTGAGTATATTCCATTTACTGAAACATTTATGTTTTTCATTTTCTTTCTCAAAATACTCCTTCCTTGATTAGACGGAGAAAAAACAGAAACAAACTGAATTCAAACCAAAATTAGACAATATCATCTCATCTAATTTATCTTCAATTGAACAAAATGAATCCATGAATAATGTCAAAGAGCATACACGTTTAGCTCCATTAGCATCATGTGAAGTAATACCAGATGAATCGGAGACAATCAATTTTAAACAAGAATCATTTAATAATAAACAATTATCTGTATCTATGACCAACAATGTAAATAATATCAATAATATAGACAATCAATATCAATCTAATCCCGGTGTAACGAATTCCCTCAATCCTAATTTACATAATCTAACATGTAATCATTTAGATAATCAATTGGATCAATGTAAAAATGTGTTCAATCAAGAAAAACATTTCAAATTGGATCATGTTGAAATAACAAAACAAGAAGGAATTAAAACAGAAGAACAATACAAGCATAATTTATTAGCAGATATATCAAAATCAGATGTGGCCATATCCATTTCATATGAAAATCAGGTAAAATTAAAGAACCCGTTTTTCAGTCCTTAGTGCTATTAAAAGTATGAGGGTGGTTATCACTTCCTGGTTGCCCACATCATGGAAGGGTTCTACTGAAAATATCTGAAAAAAAATTGGATTAGAGTTTGTCTTAGTGATCTGAGAGCGTAACCGCAGTGATTGAGACCGGTCACATACAGCCGTTTTGTGGGTAATTTTTGTGTTAGCACCCTACTTGTTTAGACCTTACCTACGGAGATGGGTATCCATGGAATAAGGCTAGGTGTGCATTTTTAGGGTCGATCTTTTCCAACCTCATCCTTCCTTCTAGGAAGGCAGTATTACTGTTATGATGAAACACTTTACTGCCGTCAGACCTCTATACAATCAGCAGTACGACTTCACTCTCGGACCTTGGGTTTACTGTTTTTGGTTTTACCGCTCATTAACCGATCTACCTGAAGTGGTAGAGCCTTGAAGAACTGTTGTTTCAGACAGTACATCCTGATCTGTTCATTACAACAGGCAAATTCTACCATCACGTTAAGGTAGTAGCAATGGTCGAGATATATTTTTTCTATATTTCATAAATATCAGTAAACCAAGAATCATATTGCTATCACAGTAATATGAAGTCATTTTTACAGTTGCTCAATCATTTTGCAGTGAACAATGTTATGATATTAGCTCAGTCCCTTTAGTACCGATGGAGATCTGTCGATCATGTTACAATGTGACCACTAGACTTAGTGATTCAACGTCACATGCAGTATGTTTTCACATGGGATGGTTGGAGATAGTCGATAGGAAACTTAACTCGACCAAGGTTCCATACAATTTAGCACCACTCATTTACAAGATGAACTTGTAATTTTAATGGAACTGATTCTCTTTGACAGAGTCAATTCCGTGAAACTCAGTACTTCAATTTAAGAACAGCTTCAAATAGAACAAAATCTAAATCTAGGATACCTTGTTAATTACATTCAATCACTTAAGAATTCATTTTTATTTGATGGATTCACTTCATATATGCTTATAGACTAGAATTATTTAGGATATAGAAACAAAAACGGTGTACGTACTTTGTGTGCAAAATGTTCTGATTGAAATTGGGTATAGTGAATAGATGCATATTAGGACAAGGCTCCAAACTGTAAAATAAATTGTGTAGGATTATAGAGGTTTCATACATTTTAAATTACGAACTTATCTCAGCTAGACAATGATTGAAAACATAAAAGAACTGAACGACTACTACATCTTAATATGTTACTTCTTTGCAGTGCTCAGCTATGACTCTGAATCTTGGGTTCGAATCCAAGGCTTTTGGTCTCAAACGCTTTTTATAGCACTATTTATTTATAGATTAACTATATGATCATTCTAAAGAGAAGAAAATTGTGAAGAGCATGAAAACAGAAAGGTAAAAAGGGAAGGTTAATCTCATAGGTTGCTTCAAAAAATTAATTAGCTAACTAAAGCATAGATTAGAAATAACAAGGCATGATAGAACCTACAAGAACATATGTTCCAGACAATATAGCTCGGTTGGGTCATCACGATAAGCAAGCCCAACCACCATGTCAAGGTACCTGCTACGGTCGGGAACAAGGAATATGATTGAGAAAAAAGATTACCTAACGAACTTTTGGAAGTGGCATCACCTAATTGAAACAAAATAAGTGATTATACATGTTTAGATGCACAAATATGGTTTCATTTCCTTTACTAGCAATAAGTTTAGTAAAGCGTAGTAAATTTGGAGTCATTCGCTTATTGATTAACTTGAAAGATTTTAAAATGTTGACATTATGTTTATTGGCAAAAAAGATTAGCTACTGGATTGCTTAAAACAAGATGTTGATAGATTCTTAGGTGATTGGATGTGTAGTTAACAGAACATCCTAGACCTAAGTTTTGTGCTATTGAATTATGAAGCTTGATGACGCAGAATTAAGGGAATAACGAGGTGAAAGCTATACAATAGATCTGTAAATTTTAACGGATTGAAATCACGAATCAGTTGAAGCTAGACAACCATTGAAAACCTGGAACCACTGGACGGCCGTTTCGTCCTAGTGTGAGACCCCTCAGCAGCGCGCATCCACGACCCCGCACCCCGCGGGATCCGAACCCAGGATATGCTGGCCTCGTGCGCGAGCACCTAACCATTAGACCACTGAGCCGGCATCCCACGGTGTTAATGACTAACTTCAACCAATCCACAAAGTTGCGCCACCATATACCAGGTTTTCAATGGTGGTCTAGCTTCAAATGACTCACGATTTCAATCTGTGAAAATTTCTAAAATCTCCACAAACCCCTTCTGAAAAGTAAATTGTTTAATTTGAAGGCAATTTCCATTCAGAGCTTGATATCAATTAAAAAGTGGGAAGAAATCCTAGATTAAGATGTGTCAGAAGCGTTCGCCTGAAACACCAACAAACATAGCATATAATGAACTTTCAAACATTGTACTAAGCATGATAACTTTAGTTAAAGAAGATTTGTAGCTCAGGTGAATGATTTTAGCGAAGTTTTGTTCTTTAAACTGAATGGATGATTCGACCAAGAATCAGATCAAAAGGAGATAATTTCAAAATGAAGAGGCAGATAATGACAGGTTAAAGGTCAACAATAACCAATAAAGATCGAGGTCAACAGGACAAGCTGTGATTCATATATGAAGAAATTCGAACACTTGACTTCTACCTGAAATATTTGCTGATGATGTTCAGAAGAACAATGAAAGCTCCACGACCGATTCATTTAGTTCGGAGAACAAAGCTCCACCAAAAGAAAACCTTAGGTAATACGTAGATTGTACTTAATTTATTTATCCAGCAACCTTTGAAGACAGAATTATAATACTAATTACAGATGGATGATGTCTAGCAGTTGAATCCAGGGTGCGTGTTTCACACTAGTTATGACTCATCAACTGGATGTACACGCCCCCCAGATTTGATGTTCACTCTGAGACTCGAACCTAGTTCCGTTCGTTTCAAACGCCAAAACGTAAATAGGATGAAACGCATATCTTGAATTCCACTACTTTCCACGACCCATCTCTGTTTATAATGCTTGTGACTTAATAGCAATATTGTGGCAATTTATGCAAGATGCACATATGCAGGGACTGATCAATTGCAGTCCTAAACATCAATGGGAAGATTCAAATAATCAAAACAAATGAATTAAAGTAATAATAATAATTTTTTCTGGTTAGCGTTGTTTTAGCGAGTTAATTTTCTACGGGATGGGATCGCTAACCCCTATGCCCAATCCTCCTCCCTTATCCGGACTTGGGACCGGCATTAGCTCCAGAGAGGTTCCAGGCGGAGTTTAAAGTAATAATTATTTTCAGATAAAGAATTTCGGTTTAGTAGTAGTACTGTTATATGTGCTACTGATGTCGACAGATATAAATAGTATGTATCATTGACTGAAAGTGAAATGCCTGGTGACAGAAGATTAAGAAGATCGAAGAGAGGAAAATGAAACCAAAGAGTGATTGATGTGAAAGCGAAGGAACAATCAAGTATGAGATAACTGATTGACATTTTATAAATGAAGCATTCACAGTACTGGCGTTCTCATTCACTACAGTATTGGTATTAGTAGCACTAGTATTTGTACAAAGAGATTTTTTCCATATTATCTACAGAAATTAATCATTTTAATGAGAAATAGATTGAATACCGACTACTTGGATTATTGAGTGTTTACACTGAATACGAATTTTATGTTTGATGCCCTATTTTTCTCTCTCCTTTAAAGCCAACTGAACATTTTAAATATCCACCAACTGGAGAAATTGATTCTAAGAATGTGACAAAGACAAATGAGGAACGTTTAGATCAATTAACGATGTTGACTAGTCAGCAACAATTGAGTTTTCTTCATTGGCCATCTAATAATCTTATTCATAGCAGCAGCAGCAGCAATAATAATAATAATAGTCAGTATTCAAAACTAACAAAATCTCCATCATCACTTAATTATTCAAATGATAATAATCGATTATTAGAGAGTTATTTAAATCAAACTATTGGTTCATCATTATTAGCAACAGAAACCAATACAGATCGGATACAATCACGAAGAAGTTTTGATAAAGTTACTGAAGGTAAAGATTCATTTATTAGTAATTATAATAAATTGTGATTTATTATTTCATGCATAGTATCCAAGTTACATTATTGATGACAATCGATGAAAGTATAGTATAAAGCTGAATATCTATTTAAACACATAAACATTGGTACAAAGATGCACCAAGTAGATATTCCCCGACATAGATCATTTGATTTATATGAGGGCTGGGATACTGTCTAGGAGCCCAAACCGAGGCAAATGGTTCTCTTAGGGAGCCACACCTGGAGCCTTCGACCTAAAGATCTGATCCAAAAGGCAGTGGAGCAACATCGGAAGATGCGACCCTATTTTAGCCAGTGACCAGCAATAGACTCATACGCGTTTTGTTCCTTCGGGATGCTGGAGCCCATATACACAATTGATCTGAAGTCAGGGTTTTCCAACTCCCCTAGGTGGACTCTCCGTGTCCAACGACCCGGTTAAAACAACACCCGTGGTGTGAGAACACAGCGAGTAGGACTACTCTGGCAGTGGCTGTATACGCGTGATCATATGAGAACATTCGGAAAGGGAGAGCTGACTCTCCCGACTCTCGGCCGTACCAGGAAATTTGGGGCCATAAAACTGAATAAATCAGACCAAAGAAGATAACTGGTAAATTTCTGAGTGATATTCAAAAATGAAAATGAGTAGTAGGAATACCTTCGTATCTACACTATTCCTTAGTTCTCAAGCGAACCTCAATCTAATCGCATTGCATTATATGGATCAACCAATCAGATAAAACCATTTGGATTTTCTTTTCGTTTTGCACAAATTTCATCCAATTTTGTGGTTATAGATCATTTTTCAATTCTAGTTGATGTTAGTTCTCAATGAGAAATTTAACCCTAAACCCCTGATACTAATTATATAGTCCTGGCAACAACCAAGAAAAAATATAAAGAATCCTAGAAACTCATTTGTCACCTTTTATGGGTACGAGAATATGTGTAATTTACTATCTATATTGTGACAGAATTTATATTTGCTTATTCTTTACATCATCATCATTAACAACGTAGAACTTCGTACGTACGTACATTAGTTCGAATTGCCATACCACATTAGCACAGAGATGTAGTTGTCGATTCAAATCCAGTAGTGATAGAGGTGGTAAGAGTATAAGCAGTGATCGGGAAGATTAGGGTAATATTCTTTACATTGTACAGGAAGATCAACTTGTAAAATATTTTAATAGATTCATTCAATATGTATAATCTGTTTGTTTTCTTTTCCATGAACAATCCATATACAGAAGATACATTTTGATTGATTATGAACTGACTAGAAATTCATCGTGGTTATTTTAAGCTCATCCCCATGTTATACTCATAGTTAAAATACTTTTTTTCCTTTTTTGAACATGTTTACATTCATTTAGTAGGTCAATATTGTATTACATTACTGACTAACGCATGTTACTCCTAATCGAGCATAGGCCGCCAACCAGCATTCTCCAACCCACTCTGTCCTAGGCCTTCCTTTCTAGTTTTAACCAATTTTCAATCATTTTCCTTATATCATTTTCCATTTCTTGGTGTAATGTGTTCTTCGGTCTTCCTCTTTTCCTTTGACTTTGAGGATCTCATGTGGGGGCTTGCCTTGTGACGCAGTCCAATATTGCATATAAATGTATAATTTTCACTAAGGATTTCGTTTCAATCATCCAAGTACTCATCCACTATGTGAATGGTAAATCATTTAAAAGTACTTGATACATATATTGTGTTAATTCTATTCATAACTAATCAATCAAATCGTTTACTGTAAATTTAAATAGTTTAGTAAGGATCAAATAGCTTGGTTCCTGGTTTCATATAACTTTAGTGGACTTCCGATATTGTTCGAGGGCCGTTAGGTGCTTCCAGGTGGCGAGCCAATCAGAAGCGTTTGAGAGATTTCAAGGTCACGGTGCCAACTTCAGTGCCTAATGCTAATGTACGACCGGTTCACAGGGAATTTTGTACAAAACATGATAATGAAGCGGCTATAACAAATAAAACGGCGAGACTATAATTTGTGGACGAGTCAATTTGGTATAAGATAACAGATCTCGAATTTCGGTGCGAAAGCCTTTCATCAATTTGGCTAAATAGATTTCTGGTATTATAGCTGATGTCAGTCCGTGATGAAAACCCTATATATAATTAATTCCTAACTAAGGCAAATTATGACAATTATTGCGAACTGGATAATCAAAGCACCAGTAATACTGGCTGCAGCCAGGTACTACAATATATACGGATGATTGGAGAGTGTACAGACTCCTGTATAGGCTTGGTTATGTGAAACGTGTCGTTATCCACAAGTGACATGTTGTGTACTCAACAACCGAAGTGCACACAAGCAATATTGAAGCTATGAGGTCGAGATTGAAAGGGTTTTTAAGACTTTATCATGGCTCCAGAGGCCCATTATTCTGTAGCCATATAGATGATTTCCTCTACCGCATTCATTACGCTTTTAGAACCTCTGAACTTCTTTCTAATCTTGACAAGTTTTTGAACCATGTATAAGAAGTGTATCCACTTTATTTCCTTGGTTTTGTATAATATATTTTTACTCTATACTTACTGTTTGTTGATTGGTTAATTTTTATCAAGGTCACTTAAGATTTGTTCAGAGGACATCCATAAATTATAGTCTCGCCGATGATCCTCTTCCTGTTCACTGAATTTTTTCTCTTCTTTACTACTCAACTGGTTGTCACTTTAATTCTCTTGTATGAATATTTATATACCTCTGGGACCATCCAGCGCTGAAAGTGAATAGGTAACACATCGAGCAAAGCATCCAATTGTGTCACAGAGCAAGCCCCCACTTGGAATCCTCAAAAGCGAATGAGAAGTAGAAGAACTAGAAGGGAAGGCCCATGACAGAGTGGGTTGGAGAATGCTGGTTGGCGGCCTATGGTAGAGTAGGAGGAACAGGCGTAAGTAAGTAAGGGACCTTAGGAAAGACAATAGATCTATTTGTTATATTATTTTGTTAAATATATCGTGAAGAGATTTACTCAATAGCCTTCTTTTTGAACTCAGTGTTATTCCACTGATTTTCTATTCCACGCTGTTGTTGAGTATATATAGTTTACTAAAATAAGGAAATTTTACGTCATAGACAGAATTCCAGAAGATTTCAAGTGTTAATCTAAATCATGAATCAATTGAAGCTAGACCACTATGGAAAACCTGGAAGCAGTGGACGGCCGTTTCGTCCTAGTATGGGACTCCTCAGCAGTGTGCATCCACGATCTGTGAAATTTCTAAAATCTCCATAACACGCCTTCTGATATTATTCTAAAGCATAATGACGTAATTACTTTGTAATAAAAAAATATCTAATTAAGATCAACTCAAAGTGTTGATTACATAGAAAATGACATACACATTTGAAGATCATCTTCATCTAAATTTGATAATCAATAGTTTACAATAGTCTTACTATAATACTGAATTTGCAAAATGTTCAATAATTGTCTCGAACTTCCTTGCTTTCTATTCCCGCTCTTCTTTTCCCGATCTTCCTCCATCTTCTGCTACCAGACATTACATTCCTGACTCGCGTCATATAACTACTTAAATCAATATAAGTAGCACGCACTACAATCTTACTAGAAAATGTATTTTTATTTTATTTTCATTTAGATAATATACAACAACAACAACAACAACAACAACAAATACCATTGGAATGTCAAAAACAATCAAAAGATACTACTGAATTATCAAATCATACTTCAATTAAACAATCAACAATTATGTTAAAATCATCATCATTAACAATCAATAATACAACTAAATATTATCCAGTTGCTGAAAGTTTAGATTTAGCTACACGTTTAACAATTTTAAAAAAATCCCCTAAATCATTTACAGCATGTCAATCATTAGCAAAACATACAATGATTGCAGCATTAAATTGTTCTGGTGCATTTGTACATTTAAAACCAACATCAATAATACAATATCCAATTCATCAATCATCAAATGATGAGAATGATAATAATAATCATAATCATAATCATACTCAATTAAAATATTTAGATAATTATTTACAATGTAAAAATATAATGATTCGATCATCTCCATCAAGTCCAAATAAGTATTCAACAGGGATTTGTTCAGATATTAAAGTAAGTGTTGTTTTTGCTGTTTGGTTCGTTTGTTATTGTTGTTATTGTTGTTGTTGTTGCTGAATATTGATGTGGTCAATTGACGGAGAAGATTTGGAAGATGTAAGGATCTTTACATATTTGGGCAGAATCATTGATCAACATAGTGGATCTGTAACAGATATGAAGGCGTGGATTAGCAAAACAAAAGCAATACACCTACAACTGAACAATATCTGGAATTCAAAACAACTGTCTGTCAACCAACACCAAATTCAGAATTTTCAATATAAATGTAGGTGTCATTACCAAGGTTTGATTTGATAATTTCGAATAAATTGAGCATTGGGTTCATTGTTATAAATAAAAATAATATATTTGTAATATCCCAATGAGTAGAAAATTGGATTTTCTGACGTTTCGTGACTTAGTGTAAGTCACTTCTTCAGAGAACAAATAACCAAATTAAAATTCATCCAAGTTTAAATAGTACAACGGAACAATGCAAGAATAATATTGGATCAATCAAAAACAAGTCTGAACAAGTTGATGTCATGTCATTTCTGTCAAGGTGATTCATAACTGATATGTTTGTAAATTTGTGTGTATGTATATGTGCATTGTTTAAGAATGAAAACTTGTGTGACCTTTATGGTAAGAAAGGATGTCAAGACAGTTCTACAGTATGGGGTGGAAACTTGCAGAACTACGAAACACATCACCTAGAAGATAAAAGTGTTTATTAACAGTTGTCTACGTAGAATTCTTCGGATCCGTTGGTCAAACACTATCAGTAACAACCTACTATGAGAGAGAACAAACTAGATTCGAGAGGAGGAAGAAATCAGGAAGAAGTGCTGGAAGTGGATAGGAAACACATTGATGAAAGCATTCAACTGAGTCACAAGGTAAGCTCTCACTTGAAATCCTCAAGTCCAAAGGAGGAGACGAAGATCAAAGAACACATGACGCCAAGAAATGGAGACAAGCATGAGAAGAATAAACAAGAAATGGATAGAACTAGAAAGGAAGGCCTAGGACAGAGTGAGTTGCGGAATGCTGGTTGTCGGCCTACGCTCGATTAGGAGTGACAGGCGTAAGGAAATAAGTAAATTTCAGTTTAATCATTGAACTTGTTGGGGAGATTCAGAAAACTCCTCAAAAAGAAAAAAACTATGAAAGGATCTGAAAACATTGAAAACCATCTTATCCAATCGCCATTCCATTTTATGATGGATGTAAAAAATGTTGGTGTGGATCTGTTGCTTGGAGAAAGACGTCTAGACCTTGAATATGCGGATGATATTGTATTATTGTGTTATGATACCCAAGACACACAATCCGCACTTAATCTGTTGGCAGTCAGTGTCCGTAGGTATGGTATGTGCTTTACACCTTGAAAATGCAAAGTACTTCTACAAGACTGAAAGGATTCTAATCCTGTACTCACCCTGGATGGTGAGCAGATAGGAATAGTCGAAAAGTTCGTGTATCTAGGTAGCTAAATAAGTGCTGTTGGTGGCGTGAGTGATGAGATCAATCCAAGTATAGTGAAAGCCAGAGCGGCTTATGCCAATCTGGGCCATCTTTGGCGTCCTCGTGATGTCAGTCTGGCTGTAAAAGGACGGATGTACAGCGCGTCGGTGAGAGCAGTTCTGCTCTATGCTTGTGAAACCTGGCCTCTCCGAGTTGATGATGTTAGACAACTCTCTGTGTTTAATTATCCTTGACCATTAGAGTATAAACATGTTGGATATAGGGTAGTTGTTATCCACTGAAAACATTGAAGATAGTCGTGGAATACCTTGATTTGATTGAAGTTTGATAATATACACCGGTGAATTCCCGGCTCTTTGGTCTAGAAGTTATGAATATTAAGTTCTATCTCTGGCTGAGTTGTGAATTTATACTTCTGGGAACACCCATATTTAGATGAAAACTTCTTCTAGTGCTTTCTGATTTTCAATGGATGTTTAACTTTGATCAGTTCGTGTTATCATTCACTATTCTCCACAAATCTCTATGTTGAAATATGTCTAATCTGTAGGTGATATTCACCATAGATTAACCATTTTATGAAGGAATAATGATTCTTTTAGTAGGAAAAAAATCTTTAGTTATTGATTTATTCTATTAGTTTAAGTATAAATTGAATAGGCTTAGGCACTGAAACTACTGACAGAGAACCTTGTTTTGCAAACTCTTTAATCGCACCAGACAAGAAAAATCATTCTTATCATCCGCTGTGATCACCGTGTAAGTAATAGTGAGGTTGGAGGCAGGATGATAGTAAACCAGTTGATGAGGTTATGAATCATCATCGACTGAGAGGGTTGGGCAACGTGGTACGTATGCCTGAACATCAATTACCACTATGTGCAATGCTGACTACTGTTGCAGATGACTAGAAGCAAGTAAGGGGCGACCAAACCAAAACGTGGCAACAGTGTTTAAAGTCATTAACTTCTTGTCTAAGTCATGTTGGTAGATACAGACAACTAGGTTGGGGTTCACGTGACTATCGTAACCAATGGTTGGAGACTCTGTGTGCTATGACTGAGAAACGATGACAATGGTGTAGGTGTATACACCCTCTGTCTTTCCTTAAACTAAGAGATTAAAATTCCTTCATATCTTTGTTTCTTCCTTCCTGTACTTATGTCCTTATACACAATCTTTCTTTTATAAATTACAACCACTGAATTAACTACTTCTATGAATCCGGTGTTCATCTTGATTTAGTAATCAGATATGCCAACTTGGACTGATGCATATATGTGCCTAATGCTACGTTGTAGCTGATTGTCTGAACACTTAAATTCCAACCATTTTTTTACAATACACTTGACATCTGAAATAATTTATCCATCATTCTCATTATCTTCAACATGGATCCTGTAACAGCTCTGATATTTTTTCAGTATCATTAAATAGTAAGATCAGTCAATTCACTGGTAAAGTATACTTAATATTACCAATGAATTCATTCCATTGTTATTCTAACTTTTACTCATAACATAATAGAATGCAAAACAATGTGTGAATATACGTGGTACCTCACAAGAAAGCGAGAACACGGATATAGATTCATTCAAAACTGTCAAACATGTTTCTACGAAATCCACTGATGTTTTAGAAACTTCAACAAACATTAAACAGTCAATTCAAAGTCATAACAAACAGACTGGAGTAGTTAATTTGAATCAAACAACAAATGAATTGGTGGGTCTATATTTTGATTTGCATATTCATTACTATTTTAGTGTTTAATCATTTCATAGATTATGAGTACTATGAATGTATTTTCTTAATATAGAATGATGAACATTCAATTGAGAAAATGTGTACTTTAAGTAAGGTCACTAACTATTGACATTATTAAGCTACTAGCTTGACATGGTGACCGAGCTTGGATATAATGATGATCCAATCTAATTGTATTGTCTAGAACATGTAGTCTTTTAAGTTTTATCATACGCGGTAGATCATTTCATGGCAGTAACACCAAGAGCAACAAACTTAAGGTCTGAGAGTAAAGTCGTACCGTTTACTGCACTACTGTGTGATAACAATACGGTATTATCTTTAGACACTCATTATCCGATTTCAAACAGAGGATGAAATAGGTTAGAAATGATAAATACTAACAATAATACACATCAATATGACCTACGAATTTCCGATTGTGGCGGTATCGTTATGGAAAACGCACTTCCATTACAACATACAGTATTCACAACCTGATGTGATCTCAGAAGTATTTCAAATGGAAAAATAGACTAGGTGTCTGAATTTGTGAATTTGTCATAGGTTAAAATACCACATAGCGGTTCACATTATCTAGTGGCTCTGTAGATACTTTAACCTCGTTAAACGTTTTATAATGAGAAGATGACAACGGAAATGGTGTTTTGCTGGGCAACAATAAGATGATAATGACCATATTCAAATTCTAATCTTCTGAATTCTCCATGTCCCTTTTTTCCTCTTTCCAAATTTATTTCACTGAATTATACTCTTTAAATAACATCTCCAAACCCTAATCTTCCCGATCACTGCTTACACTCTTGCTACCTCTACCACTACGGGATTTGGATAGACAACTGCATCTCTGTTTTAAGGTGGTGTGGCAACTCGAACTGATGTACGTACGTACGAAGTTCTACGTTGTTACTGACTGACTGACTGACTAATGACCATATACTCTGATTATTTTGACTTACCTTGTATAAAAAGTTACAAAAAGTATGGACCAATATAATTAATAAGGATCCTGAAACACCGTAATGTATCCTTCTTAGAACTAATTTTTATCCTAGCGATACCGTTGAAGTTCAAAACTGATTGGATGATTACCAACATGACAAACAGCAAGCTCTATATTATGTGTTTGAAAATACCGCCATTTCGTGACTACTGACGGAACGCCATGGCTACGGTCCTCAGAAATCTGGTTTCCCGGTTAAGATTTGACTCTATATCATTCATAGCTGGTTAGTGATATTGCTGTAGTGAATGATAACATAAGTGAAGACAACGTAATTTATTTACAGAGTTACTTCATAAAATTTAAAAACCATACTCTAATATTTCATTTGCAAAATGTTCATTAATTGTCTCAGACTTCATTATTTCTTCATTTCCATACCAATTACTTCTTGTTCCCGTTCTTTCCTCTTCGATCTTCTCAACTTTCTGTTGCCAGATATTCTAGTCCTGATTAGTGTTATATACTACTTATGTTGACATAAGCAGCACGCACCACATTATTACTATGCTATTCCCTCAAGGACTGAGATTTTACACTGATTAGTCATTAAGTACTAACCAATGACATCAAATTCCGTCACGACTAAATGATAGGTTAGTGTTTTTTTGGCGAGTTAGTTTCCTACGGGATAGGGTCGCTGACCCCATGTCCAACCCTCCTCCCTTATTCGGGCTTGGGACCGGTAGAAGCCCCGGGAGGAACTCCAGGTGGAGTTCACTTCGCTTCTCGGCTCTCTGAGCTAAGATCATGTGTAGTATCTCTTCTTTGCAGTGTACTTTCTGCAGCGGTCTCTAAAATGAGACCAATGAAATTATCCGTATTTTTCACTTCCAGACAAGTGATGTGAGCTTGCTCAACCCCGTCCACGGGTCAGCCTCGTATTGCATTACCTCGAGGATTGACCCATTAGGTTCAGTGGTTTAGTAGGTTAAGCATTCGCGCGCGAGACTGAAGGCCCTGGGTTCGAATCCCGCGAGCGTGATCGTGGATGCACACTGCTGAGGAATCATGGATTAAATAATAAACAAAATGATATTGGTTACTGTCATACAATAGATAATGGTAAATGGAGAAAAATGTTCTAAGTTTACATTGGCTACATCACTTCTCATTTTAAACCTTGTTGCTATTGAGACGAAAAGAGTGGATATTAAAACTGTTATAAAAATACCAAAGGAAGACAAATTGAATATACGACAAAGAGTGGAATGATAATAATCATAAACAAAATAAAATGTTTTCATATTACCCTGGTAACAAATATAGATTAATTATTTCTAGGCCAAATTCAAAACGCACTTAGAAACTTGTTATTTAAATAAATATATATAAAACATGACCTTGGGAAACGGGAAGATTAGAAAGCTAAAAGTAATAACAACCAATCAGAAAACAAGAAAGAACATAGGTAAGTATGAATTAGAAAAAAAAACATTACTGAAATGACCATTTATTGACAAAAAGATATAGACATATCACATATCAGAAGGGGTTTTGTGGAGATTTTAGAAATTTCACTGATTAAAATCGTGAGTCAATTGAAGCTAGACCACCATGGGAAACCTGGAAGCACTGGACGGCCGTTTCGTCCTATTATGGGACTGTATACCCAGCTCTATCCATTTCTTGTTTATTCTTCTCATGCTTGTCTCTATTTCTTGGCGTCATGTGTTCTTTGATCTTCGTCTCCTCCTTTGGACTTGAGGATTTCAAGTGAGAGCTTACCTTGTGACTCAGTTGAATGCTTTCATCAATGTGTTTCCTATCCACTTCCAGCACTTCTTCCTGATTTCTTCCTCCACTGGAATTCCGTTTGTTCTCTCCCATAGTAGGTTGTTGCTGATAGTGTTTGGCCAACGGATCCGAAGAATTTCGCGTAGACAATTGTTAATAAACACTTGTATCTTCTGGATGACGATTTTCGTAGTTCTGCAAGTTTCCGCCCTATACAGTGAAACTGTCTTGACATTTATATTGAAAATTCTGATTTTGGTGTTGGTTGACAGTTGTTTTGAATTCCAGATGTTGTTCAGTTGCAGGGTGTGCTGCTCTTGCTTTGCTTATCTACGCCTTCATATCTGTTACAGATCCACTATGTTGATCAATGATGATGCCCAAATATGTAAACGTTCTTACATCTTCCAAATCTTCTCCATCAAGTTTGATTCGATTGGTGCATGCTATGCTGTATCGGAGAATCTTGCTTTTCCCTTTGTATATGTTGATGCTGCTGCTACACTGGTCTACTTCTCCTGTATTTGTTATTTCGTGTGCGATAGAAGAGTCAGATCATCTGTGAAGTCTAGATCATCCAGCTACATCCTAGCTGCTTACTGTATCCCATGCTTACCCTCAGATGTTGACATCTTCATGATTCAGTCGATCACCAGGAGCAAGAGGAAAGGGTGAGATTAAGCAACCTTGCTTGACACTGGTCATTACTTCGAATGACTCTGTCAGAAGACATGAGTTCACTATGAATTCTGCATCAAAATTAATTTTCATTCTGTTTAAATGTAAAGACTATTGAAATTAAATCAAGTAACTTTTATATTTGTGTGGAAATATCTTTGTTTGTTTGTTTGTTTTTTCAGCGTCATACTATTGGAAAAGTCAATCGAAAAGAAATGGACCATTTAGATGAAAATAAACCATCCTTGGAAACAATCAATTCATTATCATCAAATAACATTCAACGAATTTCAGATATAATATTAAAAGATAGAAAAGATTCACTTATTCCTCAACAATTAGGAATTGTTGACTGTGCCAGAGGATCTGTAGTATCATGTAAGTTTATTCTTCACATTGTAATACTTATACTGTCTAAATTAAACTGGATTATATATAAAAGTTCATGTTTCGTTTTATTTACTTACTTACTTACTTACGCCTGTTACTCCCAATGGAGTATAGGCCGCCGACTAGAATTCTCCAACCCACTCTGTCCTGGGCCTCCTTTTCTAATTCCATCCAATTCTTGTTCATCTTTTTCATGTCTATTTCCATTTCTCGGCGTAATGTGTTCTTTGGTCTTCCTCTTTTCCTTTGGCCTTAAAGATTCCATGTGAGGGCTTGTTTTGTGACGCAGTTGTGTGCTTTCCTCAATGTGTGTCCTATCCACTTCCAACGCTTCTTCCTGATTTCTTCCTCCAATGGGATCTGGTTTGTTCTCTCCCACAGTACGTTGTTTCTAATATTGTCCGGCCAACGGATCTGAAGTATTTTGCGTAGACAACTGTTAATAAACACCTGTATTTTCCGGATGATGGCTTTCGTAGTTCTCCAGGTTTCTGCCCCATACAGTAGAACTGTCTTGACATTTGTATTGAAAATCCTGACCTTGGTGTTGGTTGACAGACAGTTGTTTTGAGTTCCAGATGTTCCTCAGTTGTAATTCGTCCTATTTAGGACTCGTCAATTGAATGTACCTAAATTCTAGTGTTTATATTCACATATGAACTCATACTCATTACTATCAAATTTAAATACTAAAAGGTTAAGCATTAAGTTTAGATAGTCACAATTCTTGTTCAACAGTTATGATATTCATATCATTATGAGTAAGTATTTGAATACTTTCGTTTTTTCGCTAATCAGGATTGAATCTCTATCAGTCTTTAGTGAATAAACATGATTTATTTCATTGATCTTCATCCAGTAATGAAGATGATAAAATATTTTATATCAAGAATCGATTAAAAATGAAAAAAAGAAGTGAGTCAATAGAATATGGAGATTCGTTCTTGTAGATGATGTCGAGGGTAAGGATCATTAGATTGACTTACTGTTATATCTAGAGGTTATATTCTCGATATGACGCGTACAACTTGTCAGGTTCGTTAAAGCTTGAATGCTACTACTGATTCGGTTTATTCGAAACGGAACGAAGGATCAAGGATTCAGAGACTCGATAGGATGTTCTGGTCCGTTCTCCTCAATTCAGCTAACTCGATCAAGAAGTCTTGGTAAGACGTAGAAGTGTATTCTACAGGTAACTAGCAGATACCAGGTCAGGTCAATCTGGCACACAAATCAAGAGTATTTATACAAATATTTATAATCGATATTGCCATGGAAAGATTCTTAACATTAATCAATAAGTTCGTCAATTGACTTCCATTCAAATGTTTAAACATTTAATCGATAAGTTAAAATTACAAAATACGAGTTTTGGGGATCTATCGTCCCCAACACAACTTGAGCACTTGAACCCTCCCAATTCGCAAATGAGAAGACAACAGACAAGTGAAAGGAATGTTATTCCAAACAGTGTCAATTATGGTACAAAACTTTCAAGTATTTATAAATTTTAGTAAAAACGAAATCATCATTGTTGTTATCCAGTCCACACACAGGGAGTTATTACCATTGTCCAATAGGGAAGCTACATGTAGTGATTCTGGAATATTCTTTCCAAAGATGATTGGATGGAATATCTTCAGCTCTTTCTCAGCTTCTTAGAGTTTCCTCTAATTTACTCATGGACTAGCCTCACATTTACTTAAATTGTTATATGGAAATGTATATTAAAAACTTCGATTCAGTACTAACCGACTGTTTGATAAACGATATGGAATAATGTTTTCTAATCTTTTTTCTAGAATATTCAAGCCTATAAAACATGTGTTAGATTATTATAACACTTCTTTACTATACATGTTAATTGACATGTATGATCAATGAGTAAAAACTAATTAAAACTTGGCTAGAGGAACATATTAAACACAAAAACCATATACTTAAACTCCTTATATCAAAAGATCAAATTGTTGTTAGTTTCTAGGAGCAAATTACGCCGTTCTACTGTAAAACTATGATTAGTTGAGCTCATTCATGTTGGAAGTGAAGCAGTCATTCATCAGTAGTATTTTAAAAAAAAGTGGTTGCACCATATCCTTTGTTGAATGAAGTAAAACTTTAAACGAATGTATCCCGGTTTATTGGTTTAAAGGTCAAATATTACCACGAGACTAGAGTGTCCTGGTTTCGGTTCGTGGTGGAGTAGTGAATGTGTATTGCTGAAGAGCATCAAACTAGGATGAAACAGCCGTACTGTACCCCAATATTTTCAATAATCATCTAACATAGATCAATGTATGATGTGAATTACAACTGATAGAAATAATCAACTAACTACTGTCGGGTCTGTTGTAATTCACCATAGAGTTATATATCCTAGGAAGCCTAAATCATCTCAACTCGTAAGAGAATCCATCATTCAGATAATTCAATCAATTAAAGTGACTTAAAGCAATTATCTGATAACCGAACATCTCTTAAATTTCAATATTCAGATAGTTATTATCGTAATGATGGTGGAATGATTGTTAGTAATAAAATTATTTTACAGTGTTTAAATAATTTAACAGTGTGGCGGTGGTTGGAGGTAGTCGACAGGAAACCCTGGACCCGAGTTTCGTGTTACTTGGCACTCGTCAGCAAGGTGTACCTGTAATCTTGAGGGAACTGGTGCTCCCTGGCGGATTTGATCTCGTGTCACCCAGCTGCACTAATAAGGACGAGACACACATGAGATTGATCGCCACCCAGTGATTAATCAATTGTAATTTAACAGTTATCTTCTTGTTCCCATGTTTTTTCATCTTAAAACTCATTAATATCCTTAAAACAACAAAAAGAAATATCTTTTCATAGGGTCCGGAGTTTCAAATGTATCAAAACCTAAACGTCCATCAGTGTTCTCATGCCCTGAAGCAGAAATTGAATCACCTAGATCAAGTGTTATAAATCCATCTCTTAATGAATTAGCTTCTAATAAACGAACTCGACCAGGAGCAGTGGTCACTTCGTCTAGAAGATCAAAACGACGGTAAGTACCGATGATTTATCTGTAAATGTTATTTCGAAGTATTTAAGTAATCAGTTTTATTTGAATAGTAGACTTTCTTGAAAGACTACAACTTACTTAGTTCTTTTTAAGAAAGTTTTATTGTTAAATGGTAGTTTTGATGTTCAAGTGTTTCCAATTTCTATCACTTTCCTGACCTTTTCTATCTTCCGATTGGTTGTTTTCATTATTCAAAGGTCAAGGTTATCGTCATGTCTGTATACAGAGATATTCTATCACCATTCCTGAAATTCTTGACTTCTCTCTTCAATCCCATGAGAGACTATTGCTGGAGCGTTATGTATTATTCTTCCAGTCTATCTATAGTTAGACAAGAAGAATCCCTGTAGAGATCATCAAGGAATTATTACTGAAATGCACTATGAATCTCATAATTATTTGTAATTGATAATCTTAAAATTGAATAAATTCATAGAGAATTAATTTGCTGTTAAAATGTAGTTATCACTGTTGAGGTGATCCAGAAAACTTCTCGTAAAAGACAAGAAAGGATTAGGAACACACTAAGAAGCATTTTATCCAATCAGCGTTCAGTTAAAGTTTAGCCAGAAACATCAAGGAAGTGAAAAATCACATGTAGAGTTTTTGATTGACTGACTACTATACTGCTATTCTGTTTAGTGGTATTCCAGAATTTTCGTGAAACACAAGGACATCTAAAATACTATAAAAATCCTAGATTTTCTGTACTAAAACGAACATCTGGTGTAAAGTACTTTTCGCATATTGTGCGCCTTTCTCTCGTGTTCAGGTCGCTGTATGGTTCTAGCTTATGGGTTACGAGAATAGCTTGGGAACCGAATATAGCTTTCATTTACCAAGAATTACCAATCACCATGACCTAGTTTGAAGTATAGTTAGTTAGTCCATGATCAGAACTCTATTCACAGCTAAATAACTTCAGAAGATCTTTTGTCTAATCATGAATCATATGACTAGCTTTCCAAAGATCTAAGTAATAGCTATAATTAATGGAGTTCAAATTCGTTGATCATTTGATGCCTACAGTAATTGCTTATCATGAGACTCCCAGTGTCTATTCTATAGAATATCAACACACTTCGGATCATGAACACGTGACTGGCCTGACTAGAAGGTGAGTATGGTGTCATGCTAACCACCGATAACATTCACAATAATAATAAGGGTAGAAAAATATATAACTCACCTGTCAGACTATTTACTAATTTGATTAGGCTAACAATAATCATTATTTTTTTCGCCCATCCATCAGTTTTCATTAGTTTGATGGCTGAAATCTTTGTTGTTTATACCAAATCCATCGATTTCTACTTGTTTGATGGAGCTTCAACTTGATGATAATAACATGTGGATCTTTGGATTGAAATATGTTTTTACTTACTGCTGTTATTTAAAGATCTGTCATTTGTTTTCCATGAATCTTCTGTTGTTCACTCAACCGGAATCTCTTTGTATGGAGATTTTTATATTCTTTGAATATAATTCTCATGGTGAAAGTACACCCTACTGACCAACTCATAAATAACCTTTTGTTATACCCCAATGAGAATAAGGAATGCTAACTGTTGTGATCTATTCCTGGACTATTACTATACGTACATTTTTCTCGTATATTTATTAAGTTACTAAACTACTCATATTCGTGTCCCTCTTATTATGAGCTTTATTTTGACCTATGAACTATGATTATACGACTTACCATTCTTGAATTATGTCCTGTCTATTAATCACTACCTCCCGCATTCACAGCCACATTTAGCTAAATCTTGTACAAATGTTGCTTCCTATTTTATTGGTACGATGTGGTCTGTCTAGTTGGTATATAAACCCAATATGTTTGAAATAAATAATTGATATCTCAGATGCTGAGATTGGTGTTCTACACTTAACAGTCAGGGCTTGGCAGGAAGCAGAACCGATAAGGATTCTAGACTGCTCGTACAGGGTTTCATGAGTCATTGGTCCGATCGATAATTCACTGCTCTCTAATTGGCGGTATCGTGACGCTAACCATTAACAGGTCACACGGTATAACACTTTTACAAAGACTGGTTTTTAATTATTCATAATGTAAGTAGTATAAATGAATAATTTTCTAAATAAGAATTCTGAAGAAATTTCAGACTAAGAATTAGTAGTAATGCTATGAAATAGAGTGAAAAAGAATCCTTTGCAATTATCATGATAAATACACGTGTTCAGTAAGTTCCATGGTTTCAAATATTAAGAACCTTTAAATTACCCCCCCCCCCCACAAGACTTATAAATCTGTTTACATTCTAATTCTACTAATTTTGTATAGTTTTTCCCATCGTTCTTATTATTATGCAAGTTGTTCATCATAGAGTTTCAAATACCGTAAATACTTCAATAGCCTCCATCTTAAATCCACTCGTTTCGTCAGTATACTTGCATCATTTTTGTTTTGAAGTTATTTTAGGCTAGAAAGTTGTTATAACTGAACGGCAGCAGATTAGAGGGTAGCGAATTATCGATCGGACCAAAGACGCACAAACACGTAGAACGACCTAGGGTTCTGATTGGTCCCGCTTCCCTATCTAGCCCAGCAGTTGAGTCCAGAACGCAAGTCACAGCCTCGGATATATGAATCATTATATTTCAAACATACTTTGTTTATATACCAGTCAACCAGACCACAACGTACCATAAAATAGAAAATAACATTGTACAATATTGACCAGTAGGAAAATGACACGTGAAATAAGTACTGACCAATAAGAAAATAATACCATGTCCAAGTCCAAGAATAGCATTAGACTTAATAGAAAAATTTCTGGGATATTTTCCTGAATATCCCAACAAAAGTGTTAAGAACCAGGAATCAATAGTAGATAGATGTTTTTGTTTTATGTTAGGATCTCCTCATCAGTCCTCATTCATGAGTCTATTTACAGAATGATGCCTAAGATACGCTGGGTCTGTGAAATTCTTAAATTCAGCCACAGGTAATGTGATTGTTGCGTTCTGTGATAATTCAGTCTGGCTACATATAAACGCTTCTTAAAAGCTTGTAAAACCTGATGTGCTGGTGAGAAGATTGAGAAAGATGACTGGTAGATTCTTATTGGCAAACCGAATTAAGTGTATTTTTCCTTTTGACCTAGACAAAGATATCGAAGGTGAGAACTTGACTAAGTGTATAGCCGGCCTCTTTTAATAGCTCACGTTGATTTCAATCTCATCCACTGTTTTTTTTCTTGGAATATCGTGAGAGCACATGGATGCGGTATGTCAAAACTTGCTCAGTTTATTACTTATTAAACTGCAATGGTTATCTCAATGAAATCATTAACCAATCTAAGTTAGGAAATCATTGAAAACTTGGAAGCACTGTATGTCCGTCTAGTCCTAGTATGAGACTCTTCCGAGTTGCTCATCCGCGAACCCTCACGCGGTAATCAAGTCTAGGAAATTCGGTCTTGTGTAAACCCGTAGCCTCTAGAATGCAGAGTCAGCATCCAACGATGTTAATGTTTGACTTCAATCAATCCACGATATTGCATGACCATCTTCGATTGTCTTCAGTGTTTCCAGGTTTCATATAGTGGTCTAGCTTCAATTAACTCATGAATTCAACTATTAAATTACTGTAATATCCACAAAACCCCTCTCTGTTGATAATTGTTTCCTCCTAAATGCCTCATTTAATGATAAGTGTTTTACTAAAATACAAAGAATTTACAAGCCTTTAAGTGAATGATTCTTGTAAACCATTACAAATTGTTACCATTTTTTGGCTACTAGTGTCATTGAAATGTGACGCATTTACACTGTTTAAAACCTTTGAAAATTTTAAGTACCGAATCCTATAAAACATTCCTGATAACCGTTCATAGGTTTGTATAAACTTATGGTGTAGATTCATTACAGTAGGCTTAATTATACAGATGTTGAGTTTGTTACATTGTATACATATGAATAGGACTGATAACAAACATTTTTGATGTGACTATAATTTATGGACAAACGAATGAAATGAAGTCTAGTAGGTGTCTTCGATTTTGGCGCAAAAATTCATTTAACCATATGATTAAAGAGCATTGATATTATAGCTAATGTCAATTCGTGAAATAAAAGCTCTTACTTTAATTCATAACCATAAATTTAACAGGGAGATTCCATTGAAAAAGCTCAGAGGGACTCTGAAGACTCTAGGAAACATTTTATCCAATCGGCATTGAATAGAAGTATCTCAGATATATCTGAAAAGTGAAAAGTTACGTATCAAATTTCAGATTGGATGATTACCTAATCTGGTACTATATTTTATGTGGTTGCAGAAACTTCCAAAAGCACAAGATCAACTAGAATACTACAAATACCCTCGACTTGCTGTATATAAACTAACCTTGGAGTAATGCGTTCTTTTCACATTTTGTGCCTATTCTCTCGTGTTCAAGTTATGGAGATTTAGCCTGCTGTAATTAGAAACTGATTTAAGTGTTCAATCAAAAAGCTAATAAAAATCCTAATCCTAATTTCTTATATTGATTTACAACCCACTTTAGGTCGTGGTAGGCTGGTGAGTTGTTACAAGGTCACTTTGGAGCCACTCAAAGGCCCTCCATAAATTGTAGTCTCACCATTTTTTTCTATATTAAAATTACTTAGTCAATATTAGATACTTGATAGCACAGTATTATAAGTTTGGTTGTTTTTTTATTTTTATAGATCGAGTAACACAGCAGCTGCTCAAGCATTTGCAGTCGCAACAGCAGGCAGTGCTAATCCTCTAGCTGCAGTCGGAATTATGGGTTTAGGACCAAATCTTTTTCGTTCTAGTGGTTATCGTTTCACTGCTGGTACAGCGACTTCTGTAGCTTCACAAACTGGTCTAAGATCAGGCCTAATTCCTCATTCCAATCCTTCTATTGGTAACATTACTAATACCTCAATTATCAATAATGGTAGTAATAATAGTAGTAATGTTATGTCTACAGTTTTAATAAATCGTTCACAAGTTCAAAATACTCCTAACTATACTTATCCACTATCTCCTGGTATTTCTAATAAAGTAATGTCACCAACAACCATGGGAACAAGTGGAACAGTAGTAACAACAACAATAATAACCTCATCAATGGTATCAACAACACCGACAGTAAATACTACATTTCGTTTAAATTTAAATAAGAGTGGACTGAATCTAATTACAACATCAACACCGGGAACAATAACAAATACTAATTCAATATCAAATAACAATACATTTAATTTTCATTCGTATAATTTAACCAGTCCAACATTAATACAATCATCATGTCTTGGTGTTGGATCCAATACAGGACATTGTATAAATCAAGCAAAAAGAAATACAATGTTAGCGACAGCATCATGTTTACGTGTATTGAATGTTGTAAGACATTGGATAACTAAATTTCCAGATGTGAGTTAACATGACTATTATTATTATTATTATAATTATTATTATTATTACACTATTATTATCAATAATATAGTCAGTCATTGATGAAGATTACCATCATAGGATGTGAGAAGAGTCTACATTGATTCAATTAATCAAAACTCATGCTAACAAATTGAGGGAGCTGAAAATGAGAAATCCAATGACTGAGATGGTTCGGCCACGTGTTACATATGCCTGAACACCGATTACCACGACCTACAATGCTGACTACTGAGTCATGTTGGTAGTTCAGATTACTTGGTTGGCGTCCGCGTGACCATCGTAACCAATGCTTGACGACTCTATGTGACATGGCTTAGAATCGATCGCAATGGTGTAGGTGTATACACTCTTCGTCTTCCCTTAAAATTGCTTCGTATCTTTGTTTCTACGAACTAATTCTTTCTTCCTGTACTATATCCTTATATGCAATCTTTCTTTTATAAATTACAACCACTGAATTAACTACTTCTATGAATCCGGTGTTTATGTTGTTGTACTAATGAAGTATGGCAACTTGAACCGATGCATATATGTGCCTGGTCCTACGTTGAAGCTGACTGACTGACTGAAAAAGAGTTTCAAAGAAATGAATGTGATCAAAGAAATGATATCCAAATCACGATTTACTAGTAAATAGAGTGTGAATGCTACTGTAGATAAGCACTTCTAAGGTATCCTACAATATAACGAATGATTTAAAATATTTCTCTTCCTCTCTAGTATATTACGACAATACCTTATTGTGATAATGAAACTAGTCACGTTATATCAAATTTAAGATTCACGACCCAGAACAAAGAACTAGAATCTAGACTAGAGAATAATTTATTCAATGTAGTTAGGAACTGTCACTATAAATGAGCCTAGAATAGAAATCAATGGTAGGAAAAGAAATCGTGGCGAGACTATAATTTATGGACGGACCAATCATGTATAAGATAACAGGTCTCGAATTTTGGCGTGAAATGCACTCATCCATTTGGCTAAATACCATTTTGGCATTATAGCTGATGTCAGTTCGTGATGAAAACTATAAATCTAATTCCCAACCTTAACCATTAACTGTAAATTATAATTCCGATTCTTTATACTGATTTATAACCTTTATTTGGTTCTGGTTATTAAGTGGACACTCTCAAGTTCAGTCTAGCGTCGCTCTAAGGTCGTCCATCGAATGTTCTTTGCAACTACAATTTTGAAGTTTTATTCATTTACTTGTGATTTTTATTTTCAAGATTAAAAATAAATTTGATCTCATTTCATTTCATGATCATGTTTTGTTACATGTAGGATTTTGAAAGTGATCCAGTTTTAAAACGAGAAATGCAAACTCTATTAGATACTTTAGTCACTTGTCCTCATTTAATGCCTAATGATCAAAAAGTAGTCAATCAATTATTACTTCAAATGATTTCTGATCAATTAGTACAAGATAGAATTGATCTTGATAGTATATTAACACCAAGACAAGTAAGTCAATAATGTTTTTTATTTGTAATGAATCAAGTCTTTTTAAGTCTTGTCTATGCATTTATGTCTCAGATATTTTAGCAAATTCAATTTACCTACTTATAAGTAGTTTATAATATTTGAGTAAATAAAACAGAACGTTTTATCGTCATGTGAAATTAAAATTGGTATACATTAAGTTTGTTGAGAAAAAAAGGTATATTCTTATTATTCTCGATACCAATTTCGGTACTGTACGAAAGGATAACTAACTTTGTACATAAAACAATGAGTTTTAGCGGAGGGATCTTCAATGAGTTTGTCATCTACATAATCTTTTTGATCAATAGGACATTGTCTATTAGAATATTTAGTTTTAATAGACACTAACGTTTTCTAAATAACATATCTTGCTTTTAAAATTTTCAATAGTTGAGATCATGAGTGAATTGAAGCTAAACCACCATGGAATACCTGGAAGCATTTGACGGCTCAGTGATCTAGAGGTTAAGCGTTTTTACGCAAGATCGATAGTTCCTGGATTCGAATCTCGCACGGCGGGATCATGAATGAACACTGCTGAGGAGTCCTACAAAAAAAACGAAACAACTGTCCAGTGCTTACACATTTTCCATGGTGATCTATCTTCAACTGACTTATGATCTCAACTACTGAAATCCCTACAATCTCCACAAAACCCTTTCTGATTTTAAAATTTTCTTCACTTTCATATAGAAAGATTGAAATTAATAGATTTAATGAGATGTTATCAGTAGTATATTACTGGTATTTTTTTGCCTTTAAATTTCTGTATACTATTAGATTCCATCAGAGAAAAATTTTGATCAACTATCTGCATTGGATATTTCAGAACAATTAACTTTTCTAGATTTTCAAATATTTCGGTCAATACGTAGCGAGTAAGTTCATTTTAAATTGATTCATAAAACTTTCATTCTCATTTTATTTCTTTAATCTGGATGGTATTTTTTTAACAAGGTTGTTCTCCATGGAATAGAGTCACTAACCCCCCAATGCACAATCCTCCTCCTTTATCCGGGCTTGGGACCGGCGATAGCATAAATTATTTATAGTAGTGTCATCATTCATATATCCATGTTGAGATTAATTAGTTTATATATGTAAACATGCATAATCTGTAAGTATATTTATTCGTTAATGGGTAATATAGATTCTCATAGTCATTTATATGCAACAAATTAACCGAGCATAAATTTTTCATCATTCCAAGACACCACACCTGTTAGAACTTGTGAACTGTGTGCACTATCGTTGTATAACGTCATGATACCGCCAATTAAAGAGCATTGAATTATCGATTGCATCAATGACGCATAAGACCTGTACGAGCAGTCTAGAGTTCTTATAAATCCTTTTTCCTGCCTAGCCTTTCCGGTTCGAGTCCAGAACATCAATCTCAGCCCTTGTAATATGAACCATTTATTTCAAGCATACTGGATTTATATACCAACCACATCGTACCATAAAATAGGAAACGACATATGTACAAGATTTGGCCAAATGTGGCTGTGAGTGTGAGAGACTGTAGTTGATAGACAGGTCATAACTCAAGAATGGTAAATCGTATAATAATAGTCTATAGGTCAGAATAAAGCTCATAATAAGAGCGATATGAATATGAACAGTTTAGTTACATGACAATTATACGATAAAAATATACTCATAGTATTGGTTCATAAATGGATCCCAAAAGTTACCATTCATTATTCTCATCGGGACATAACAACACCACACACCAGCATACTGTAAGATGAGACTGACAAGATAAATGCTAAAGTATTAATTGAATTAATGACAGTATTAGGGATCATATGAAAAAATTTTAAAATAGGGAATATATTTCAAGACAACTGAATGAATTCATAGTATTATATATTATTAAATCATTGAATTTAGAGGTAAACAGATAAATAATTTCATCTATGCTTACAATTGATTGATCACTAGGTGGTGATCAATGTTATATTTGTCAGGTCCTTCTTAGTGCAGATCAAATCCTATCAACCAAGTTACAATGTGGCCACTAATCTAGGTGACTTGACATTGCATGCACTATGTTAAGATAAGATGCTGATTGGAGGTAGTCAACAGGAAACCCTGGACTTACAGAAGGTGGTAACGTCTCTGATTATGAAACTGGGTGATATGGGATTGAATCCGTCAGGGAGCATCGGTTCCCCGAAGAACATAAGTACATATTGCTCACAAGTACCAAGTAGCACGAAACCTCGGTCCAGGTTTTCCTGTTCACTATCTGCAACCACCATCTTATCTCATCTGTGCTGTTTAGATCGATTCTTGATGATGTCACCAGGCATCTCCAAACATTGATTACAAATATTGTAGGTATACACATAAATGCCATTTTGTCTGGTCTTCTAGTGAAGACCGAATTTCATTGGTTAAGTTGTAGTGTACTCATTAATCTAAATGAATCAACATTGTATTCGTTATGTTTAATGTTAGATGGTCTAAGATAGTTGATAGGAAATCCTAGACCTAGATTTCATGTTGTTCAAGACTCATCAACAAGGACGAGACAGATACGGAATTGATTACTATTGCGAGATCATTCAATGGTAATTATTTCTTACAATCCAGTTTGAATCTGTTTTTGCATTGATTGTTTGAATCTTCTCATTGACTTTTTGGAATGACATTGATCAGGCTCTTTTTGGTACATGCACATCCTGTGCAGATTACCTCAATATTGTCACTAAGTCACAAGCATTATAAGCAGAGATAGATGGTGGTTAGCAGCAGAGACTAATCAGTTGAAGTAGCTAAGTGGATAAATTAACGGCGTTTGAAGCAAACGACACTGGGTTTGAGTCTCCAAACAAATATCTACTCTTGGATGCAAGCACATACAGCTGACAAGTCCTAAAGGGGACAAAACGTACATTCTCGATTCCACTACTAACTATCATCTATCTCTGATTAAAATCCAGTTTTGTATAAGTTTATTTGCTGTGATTTTATATGAAGTTGAGAAATCTCTTTCATCTTATGGAAAGGTTTTTTTTTAAAACAGGGAATTACTTAATCAATCTTGGATGAAATTAGACAAAGAAGAGAAAGCTAAACATGTACTGCTTGTTTGTAAACGATTCAATGAGGTAAATGCTACTGATTATTGATTGTTGAATCTTCTCTAATGCTTTTTATTCACATAAAATTAAGTTATTCAGATTGTTAGGTAAAGTCACAACTCATGTGGGGCCCTTTACTTTTGTCGTCATTTAGATCGGACGATGTTGTCGAAAGGGCTCTCCACTTTAGTGGCCCGCGGGTCTGACTCCAATTAGATCGTATGAATGTTTGTTATCCCCTATCCTCGTATATAATCATCGACTTAAATCGCGTTAGTCAATAACGGAATTAAATAAGTCAAATAACGAGAATTGACTTTTGAATACATATACTTTGCATATGAAGCGAATGGAACAGAAAGATGAGAAACGACGCGGAGTGGAGATGGCGGGTAAGCCGACTCCCATTTAATCAAGCGTTAATCAATATTTATAGTTACACAAAAGTAAGTTACAGATATGTGATGAGTAATGGGATAAGAAATGTACACACGCCTACACGCTCCTATAAAAACAGTCAAGATTGATAAGCGAGTAAATAACAAGGTCAGAATGTGACTCAAGTAGAATGAATAGAATGGGCTGTCTGAAAGCGAGAATAAGATATATGGGCTTAACATAATAACCGACACACACACAACTAGAATAGCCATATAATAAGTGTTAAGAGCTTTACTCATTCAACAGCCAATACTGCTGAATGAATACTTACATCATAGAACATCTCTCACTAACAGAATCATGAAGAAAAAGCATCAAATCATAACCACGACACACTACTTAATATACCACTTCTTACTTTATATCATCTAGCCTAGCTTAGTTGATACATCATTCATTAATAAAACCTGCTTGGATTAACATTTCGCCTAGCATTAGTCTCTAGCTCTCTACTTAAAATTTAACTACATTCATTTCAAGCCAACGAAAAGTCATCCCACTACAAGATAAATATGATATACCCTTTATCATCAGTTAAATCTTCCATCGTCATATTTACTCAATGAGTGACTTGAACAAGACAACTTCGACTAGGCAAATATGAAATTCTTTATGTATATTAAATCGAAGAGATCAATTTCACGGTATTTCCTTAAATATATTGAGGAGCCTTATTAGAGGAATTAGATAGAATCTGTCTATATAGTGACCATATTAACTTACCAGGAAAAGCATACTCCATCGGTTACATGATAAAACATTGTTACACCTTGAGAAGATCATTCGATGAGACTATAATTTATGGACGACCTTAGAGTGATGCTAGAATGACCTTGATGGTGTTCACTTAACAACCATAACCAAATGAGGATTCTAAACCTGTATGACGAATTAAGATTATAATTTACAGTTGATGATTAAGGTTAGGAATTAGATTTCAAGTTTTTATCATGAATCGATATCAGCTATAATGCCAAACACTCTATTTAATCAAATGGATGAGTGAATTTCGAGCCAAAATCCGAGACCTGTTATCTTATACATGATTGGTTCGTCCATAAATTATAATCTCACCGGTCATATTTTTCTTCAGGTAATCACTTGAGTTTCATTGTTAATCAGAAAACCTGGCATGGAAAATCAAGTTCTTTGATCATTCATTTCCTTACTATTTTTGTATTGTTCAGAAGATTCAGCCTATACTAGTTAAAATGCCGAAAGTGGGGAGAGTCCGCTCTACTTCTTGACATGCTCTCACATGGCCACGCGTATATAGCCTCTGCCAGGGAAGTCCTACTCATTGCCTTCACGTGGCGGGGGTGTTGTTTACGAAATTGAGAGGACGAAAGGCGAATGTCCGGCACTTTAACCGGGTCGGTGGACATGGAGAGTCCACCTAGGAGAGTTGGAAACTCTGATTCCAAACCAGTGGTGCACATGAGCTCCAGTATCCTGAAGGAAAAAACGGCATACGAACCAATCATTGGTCAACAGCTACCATGGGACTGCATCTTCTCACGATGCTCCACTGCCTTGTGGATCAGACCTTCAGGTCAAAGGCTCGGGGTGTGGTTCCCTAAGAAAACCACCTGCTTCATTTTGGGCACCCTGGCAGTATCACAGCCCTCACACATATCAAATGAGATTTTTGTGGCGCATATGTACTTAGTGTCTTCTTGTACCAATATCTATATGTTAAAATAAATAAATAAGTTAAAATGTAACTTATTCACATGTTCTTTTTTTGCTCTCTCATTTATTGATTCAGGTTAGTCGCCTAGTTGTTTCTGAGATTATATCACGAACAGATTTAAATGATCGAGTTATGTGTATTGATAAATGGGTTGCTATCGCTGATATTTGTCGATGTATGCAAAATTACAATGGTGTATTACAAATATGTTCAGCATTAGTCAATAGTTCTGTATATCGACTTAAACGTACCTGGGAACGTGTTAGTAAACAAACAAAACAATCAATTGATCGTTTACAAATGCTTGTTGCATCCGATGGACGATTTAAATCAATGCGTGAAGCTTTACATAGGTATGTTAGATTGAGAAATATTTTGTTTGGTTTTTTTCATCAGTACAAGCTGATGTTGATCAGTTCTGAATATGATATATGTAAAGCATTGATATAGATATATTGATGAAGGTCAGTAATAATAAGTTGAAATCATCATGTTATCTAATAGTGGTTGGAATTTCTGTAAAAGTTATGTCTACAATTAAGTATTCAGTGAATCAAACTTGAATGATAAAATGTAACGTTTAGTCATTTATCTCAGTAACCCATTTTATATCATTTAATTGATTAATTACTATTGGAGAATGTGACATTGTTATAGATTTATGTCAGCTAAACTATTTCTAGACGAGTCTATAATTTATGGACAAGTCAATAGGAAGAGTTTGAGGGATTTCAAGGTCAGAAGACTTGAAAACTTATTTTCTCTACTCATTTACTTACTTACTTACACCTGTTACTCCCAGTGGAGCATAGATCGCCAACCACCATTCTGCAACTCACTGTGTCCTAAACCTTCCTTTCTAGTTCTATCCATTTCTTGTTTATTCTTTCATGCTTGTCTCCATTTCTCGGCGTCATGTGTTCTTCGGTCTTCCTCTTTTCCTTTGGCCTTGAGGATTCCACGTGAGGGCTTGCCTTGTGATGGAGTTGGGTGTTTTCATCAGTGTGTTTCCTATCCACTTCCAGCACTTCTTCCTGATTTCTTCCTCCTCTCGAATCTAGTTTGTTCTCTCTCATAGTATATTGTTACTGATAGTGTTTGGCCAACGGATCCGAAGAATTTTACGTAGACAACTGTTAATAAACACTTTTATGTTCTTCGTGATGTGTTTCGTAGTTCTGCAAGTTTCCACCCCATACTGTAGAACTGTCTTGACATTTGTATTGAAAATCCTGACATTGGTTTTGGTTGACAGACAGTTGTTTTCAGTTCCAGATGTTCCTCAGTTGTAGGTGTGTTGCTCTTGCTTTGCTAATCCGCGCCTTCATATCTGTATCAGATCCACCGTGTTGATCAATGATGCTGCCGAAATATGTAAAGATCCTTACATTTTCCAAATCTTCTCCATCAAGTGTGATAGGATTGGTTCATAGTGTTTTGTTCCGATATTACAAATATATTATTTATTATTTTAAAAGTAGTATCATGTTACGGTCATACAGATGGATTACCAATTAATTTTTAAAACTGTTACTTTTAATTTAATAGTGCGAATGATACACATTCATATTGCCATGTATCAGTGGTCACCTCAATTTGTCAGAGATTTTTCCTCCAAATCAATAGTGTCATAGTGAATATTGAATATCCGGACCGATCTTGTGGATAGTCTTCCTGGAAGCTTTACACTAACCTTTTTCCTTACATTCATTTCACATGAATTCCATGATCATAAGAGAACAATTAATGAATAGACAAATTTTAGTTATCAGCTATCATAGGAATTCGTTTACTAATATCATTGTAATGACTCATTGGTTATATTCTTAGGTTAATGTAGTTTCCTATACAGTCTGTTTATTATTTCTACTTCCATCACTCAAAACTTAGAACGATAAACTAGTTATCTGAATTCATCTTTAGATCCTATCAGTACTTACGATTGATATAATTGGCTTTAGAAAACTATTCTTGTAATTTAATGCAGAAGGGTATTATATAGATTGTTAGATTTAACATTTTACATCACAGATTGGCTTCTCATTAATCAACCATTGAAAATCGAAAAGGACTGGATGATGGTCGTTCAACATCATGAATTGATTAAACTTGGAAAGACAAACCATGAGATTCTAGTCTAAAGATCGAGCACTAGTTGAAAGATATGAATGTCTTAGGTTCGATTCCTGATGGGTTTAAGGCTTAGGATTGCTGTAGAATCTCATTCTTGAACGAAATAACTGTCTAATTCTTACTAGTATAGAGGTTGTGGAGATTGTTAAGTTTTTGATTGAGATCATGAACCAATTGATGTTAGACCATCACAATTGAAAACCTGGAAGCACTGGACGGCCGTTTCGTCCTATTGTGGGACTCCTCAGCAGTGCGCATCCACGATCCCGCGAGCGGGAATCCGACAATAGGACGAAACGGCCGTCCAGTGCTTCCAGGTTGTCTAATTCTTACTGAATTTTGATATTTGCTTAACTAATAATACTAGTCACTGATGTGAAACTTCATACATACTTGTTTTCATGTTAAATTATCTTTAGATGTGATCCTCCTTGTATTCCTTACCTTGGAATGTATTTAACCGATTTATCATTTATTGAAGAAGGTGCATTGAATATTACAGAGAATAATTTGGTCAATTTTTGTAAAATGCGTATGGTATGTAATGAAACAATAATGTTTTACTGAAACAACATTGTTTAATCTTATTATCTTTAATAAATAGTTGAATTCATAAGTCGATCCAAGCTAGATCATCATTGAAAACATGGAAGCATGAGACTCTTCAACAGTACGCATCCACAATCCATCACGCGTGACTTGAACCCAGGACCTTCGGTCTGTCATGCAACCTCCTAACGTTCAGACCACCGAGCCGAGTTCCGCGTGTGGGATCGTGGATGTGCACAGTTGAGGAGTCTCATGCTGGAATGAGACTGCTGTTCATTGCTCCCATGTTTTCAATGATGGTCTAGCTTAGATCGTATCATGAATTGAACTATTGCAATCTTTACAAATCCCCATTCTGAGAAAGTGAGTAACGCTAGAAAAGAATTATAATAAAGTTGCAATATACCCATATCATGTATTTTCTTAAATTATTTTAAATACCGACTAAGAGTAGTCACCATGCAATGTCCTAATCACTGGACCACTGGACTGAGTTTAAACGTGGAGAACTACTACAACCATCATCAAGAAGGTACAAATATTTATAAATAGTTGTCTACGCAAGATACTCAACATCCATTGGTCGAATACCATCAGCAACAGTCTTCTTTGTAAGATCCAAACCAGCCTGCAGCTACATCACAAGATAAGCCCTAACTTGGAATCGTGAAGAGAAGCTGAAAACCGGAAGGCCAAAAACACATTACGTCGTGAAATAAAAACAGATATAAAAAGGATGAATAACAAATGGAAAGAGTTGAAAAGAACTCTCCAGGACAGGGTTAGATGGAGATTGCTGATGGGATGCCTATGCTCCTCGATGAGGAGTAGTCAATAAACTTCTGTAGATCAGTCATTAAACTCATTGTTAATTAGTATTAAGATGTATTATGCTTAATGTTAGACGTTTAAAAAAATAATTCCAAACGGAGAAAGCTCTTCTTTAATTTACAGAATTTCTTCAGACATGTTTCGCATCCTATCCTTCTAAAAGTCATCAAGAACTACATATTATTTGTTAGGACACAATGATAACTCTTCATTACACTTCGATAACCTGAAACTAATTCTTTCTTTACTCTTAGTTCCCCCTCCCCTTTGTTAGTTCAACACAAATCCTACTTGACAAGGACATAAAAAGATCAATACCTATTGGATTTCATCCAATGTTATACTACTGATAATACGGATTAATGATTAGCTAAGGTATCTATCGTATTGCATAAATTCCACTTATATTAGGAAAATTACTGAACAAATGAATACCATTAGAAATCTACTAAAAGTTAATTGAGTATACAATCATTTGAACAATTTTACGATTGATTTCTTATCCATATGTTGTATTTGATATTAAATACATCTGAATCAATGAATTGTATATAACACTGAAGAGATCATGACTACTAAATAGGTAGATACTAAGATATTTATTACTTAGATACTTTCCTAATTTAAACATAAACATTCCTGGAATAATTCACTTGATATTGTTTTTACTTGAATCTTCCCATTGATGTTTTTAGGACTGAAATTGATCAGTCTCTTATTGGCATATGTGCATACTGTGCATATGCCTCGATATTGCCTGAATTCACAATCAATGAGAAGATTCAAGTAAAAACAATATCAAGTGAATTAAACTTCACTCCATTGCACAAACAAGTGGCTATCAGGACTCAGTAGCTCAGTGGATAACGCGATGGCGTTTGAAGCGAACGGTACTGAGTTTGAGTCCCAGAGTGAATATCAACTCTGAGATGCAGGTATATCCAGCTGACGAGTCCCAAACAGGACGAAACGTGCGTCCTGGATTCCACTGCTAGCCACTATCCATCTTTGTTTATAATTCCTGGAATAGTCTAAGAAACAGGAAGTAAAGTATCCAAGATTTCACTTCTATACACATATCCATCAATTTCATAAAAAACTTAGATATTGTTCTGTTTACTGTTTTTTTTTAAAAATTACAGATAGCTCATGTGATACGGGAAGTTCAACAGTATCATCAAACACCATATCTTATAACGCATAGACAAGAAGTAAGTGCTATTCATTCCCTTTGAAATAATATACGTAGATTGTTAACATTTTCCAAAGCTTAACTAGATTATCATTCAAAAACCTTGAACAGCTAAACGATCATTTCGTTGTGGATGAGTATTGCTGAGAAGTCCCATACTAGGAAAAAATAAGACGTCCAGTGCTTCTAGTTTTGGCTTTTGGCAACTTACGTCGCCTATGACGAAGGCAAGATATCCGTCTATCAACAAAAGGACGAGTATACTGCACAGCAGTTCATTCTGTTCTACATTACGGCTGAGAAACGTGGTCATTAAGAGTAAAAATATATTCGTAAGCTACTAGTATTTGACCACAGATGCTTTAGAAATATTGTTCGAATCTGCTGACATCATCGGGTAAGTAATAGTTAGGTTGGACGCAGAGTATTAAGGAATGATGATAAATTAGTTGATGAGGTTGTAAATGTTCGTCGACTGAGATGGTTGGGCCACATGCTACGTATGCCTGAACACCGATTACCATGGTGCTCAATGTTGAATGGTGTTGAAACAGGTGGAAGAATGTCAGGGGTGGCCAAACCAATACGTGGCATCAGTGCTTGAAGTTACTAACTTCTAGTGTGAGCTACGTTGGTAGATGCAGACTACTTGGTTGAGGTCCGTGTGACTATCGTAACCAATAGTTGGAGACTGTGGGTGACATGGCTCCGAATCGATCACCATGGTGTCTGTGTATACACTCTCTGTTTTCGCTTACACTGTGAGATTAAAATCGCTTTATACCTTTCTTTCTACGAACTAATTCTTTCTTCCTGTACTATGTCCTTATATGCAATCTTTCTTTTATGTATTAGAACCACTGAATTAACTACTTCTATAAATCCAGTGTTCGTGTTTTTTTGTTAAGGAGGTACGGCAACTTGGTCCGGTGCATATATGTGTCTGGTCCTACGTTGTAGCTGACTGACTTCTAGGTTTCTAATGGTTATTTAACTCAGATCAGTTCATAATTTAATTGAAATGTCTCTACTATATCTCGGTTTTGATACAACAGTTCTCTTATTATTAAGAATTGCTACCGAAGAAACTATAATTTCACATTTGAATTAACGTCTATGTTACTTGGTTGATTGTTTTACTATGAAAAAATTGTTAATCACTTTTTCTTTTCGTTCGATACATTTTTTCACTAGTGATTTTAGATAAAATCGTTCAGTGTAGGTAACTCAATTGTCTAAATGAATGTTAATATTAATTCAGATATTCCCTTGATTATTGTTCATTGTAATTTAGTATAGTTCGAAATGTTTAAATACTTGAATTGATGAGTCAATTTAAGTTAGAACATCATTGGGAACCTGGAAGCACTGGACGGCCGTTCCGTCCTATCACGAGATTCCTCAGCAGTGCTCATTCACGATCCTGAGTGCAAGATCGTGGATAGTAATCATGTTCTCACTAAAGACTAGATTCAAGATGAATATCCTGGAGTTCTAGTGAGAAGCCCTGATTAGTGGAGTCCAGTCGCTATCAGGTGTGAGACAGATATCCACTTTAGACAATGGATGAAGTGTTGCGGAAAATCCTAGATCGATTAAAGTTAGACATTAACACCATTGGATGCCAATTCCATGGTCTCGCGGTTAGACATTCGCTCACGAGACCGAGGGCCCTGGGTTCGAGCCCCGAATACGGGTTCTTGAACACACACTGCTGAGGAGTTTCATACTAAGAAGAAACGGTTAATTGCTTGCAGGTTTTCAACTATGGTCTAGCTTAGATGGTGCTAAGTCATGTCGATCGAATGCTATATTTATTTCCTAAGCTATTCTGGTAACCCGCAGTCTAGAACTACACAGCGACTTGAACACCAGGGAGAAGACACAAGTATGAGAGAAAATACTTTATCCCAAGGTTCATTTTTGTACAGAAAATCATGGGTATTTATAGATGTTGGCGTCTGTTAAATCATCATCATTTTTCAGCCAATCCGTTAACGACATATTATGCTACCGACTAATAGTAGCACGCCACGCTGGAATCTCGAACGTTCCATCATACTCTCATTAGCTAGGACCCTTCGGCTCCTTTTGGGCCTCTGGAGGCTCCATTGAAGTTCTCCAGAAGCCGACTCAACAGATAGACTTATGGATTCAACTGTTAAAATATCACAATCTTCACAACTCCCTGTTTCGTAATGTGCTTTCTTTTTAAGTAACAGTATGAAAGTGATTGTATTGTCATACTATATCACTCTTGTAATCATATAATACTATCCTAAATTAGACTAACCATATTTGGATTTGCCATAGATTATTGATTATTGAAGTGGTAAAAAAAAGCACTTTTCATGTTGTCAGTGTATAGTGATATCATAAACATAACAGATAAACGTCGTTTTTGAATAGTCTCAGAAACATATAAAAGTCAATTCATTTATGTTCTTTTATAATTTGATTAACCGTATATAAAAATTATTTACGATATGAGAATCTTTTCCAGAAACCTTTAGAATTCCAATGTCACATGTACTCATGTAATCACCTATTGATTATTGTAAACAGATTAACTCTGGGTGTAAAGCTTTAAGTGATTACATCTCAGTCCTATAGGAGGTTAGTCACGGCTCGGATAGCTCAGTGATAATGTCTCTGACTATGGAGATGGGTGACACCAGATCGAATCCGCCAGGGAACACCAGTTCCCTCAAGATAACAGGTACACCTTGATGACGAGTGCCAAGTAGCACGAAACCCGGGTCCGGGGTTTCCCGTTGACTACCTCCAACCACCATCTAAAGCTTTAAGTGCATAGCTCATTATTCGTTGAATAGTAATCGATTTTTTCTTTGTTTATTCAGTACTTACCGTTAATCTAATTCTCTTGATCATGTTGCGATGTTTTCACTCATCTTAATGACTCAATATTGAATAAACTAAATGAAGTCAAGTAACTGCTGATGATGATCGAAAAGAAACTCTGAATTTAAATTTCTTACTAGTTAAGATTCATCAACAAAGCTTAACTGTATTGTTGAGGGAACTATTGTACTCGAATATATTCAGACTTGCATCTTACAACTTTTTATGTTGAGTAACTCAAACTAGTAGTCAGATTTCAATGTCATCGAAGTAATTCAATGGGGACTATAACAATTTTCACTACATAGAGTGATCTTTCTGTTGTAAATTTCTCAACTTTATATGCGGTTATTCAATGTTCAAATAACTTAGAGTTAATGTTTAACACTGTAAAGTTTCATAAACCACAATGAGAATCGGTTAACCGAAGATTTTAACTAGTTCAACTAGTACAAAACTTGAGTCTAGCATTTTCAGCTGATTACCTTCTATCATCTAATAAGGTGAAGTGTGAAACAATAAACATTTGAGTTCAGTTAGTTCGCTTTATGAATTAAGATGAAGCCAGAACAAACATTGATACAGAATAACATGAATTCATTATATTTCGTGGTTCCCCATTAGCTGCTAACAACCAAATCTGTATTAGCTTTTTACATTGAAGTAAGACATAGTATGGGACAATTAACATAAGAGAATTCAAAGAATTGGAATGACAAAGGTTATCAATAATAACTACATATATATGCAAACACATGTCATAGTGGCTAGCAGTGGAATCTCGAACATACGTTTCGTCCTATTTGAGACTCGCCGGCTGGATGTATCTGTATCTAAGGATTGATGTTCACTTTAGAACTCGAACTCAATACCGTTCGCTTCATGGGACATCATGTTATCCACTTTGCTTATAATCCTTGTGAATTAAAACAATATCGAAGCTATACACACAGTATTCACATATACCAATAAGAGACTGATCAATTGCAGTCGTAAATATTCATGAGAAAATTCATGTAAACCATATCAAGGTTATAGATTATTTTGGGTTACAATCAAGGAAACATTAGGGATGGATAATGTAATAAGCTGAGGGAAGATCAAAGACAAATAAGATAATGTTATATCCCGATAAGAATAATGAATGGTAACTTTTGGGATCCATTTATGAACGAATGCTATGAGTGTATTTTTATCGTATAATTGTCATATAACTAACCTGTTCAGATTCACATCCCTCTTATTATGAGCTTTATTTTCACCTATGAACTAGTATTATACAATTTACCATTCTTGAGTTATGACTTGTCTATCAACTACAGTCTCTCACATTCACAGCCTTATTTTGCTAAATCTTGTACAAATATTGTTTTCTATTTTATGGTACATTGTGGTCTGTCTGGTTGATATATAAACCGAGTATGTTTGAAATGTTATGATTTCTATTATAAAGGCTGATATTGGTGTTCTGGACTTAACTGGCTGAGTTAGACAGGAAGCGAGACCAATCAGGACTCTAGGCTGCTCGTACGGGGTTTTATACATCACTGGTTCGACCGATAATTCGCTGATCTCTGATTGGCGGTATCGTGTCGTTATACATTAACAGGGTATATAGATTCACAGGTTATAACAGATAAATGATGTGATAATTTTAACCTTTGCTATTTTCTAATTCTTTACATTCACTTATATCAATTGATTCCACATTATTATCTTAGTTTAATGTAAAATTCTAATACAAATTTGGTTGTAATCAACTAATGAGAGAACTATGTGATATAATGAATTCATATTATTCTGTATTCATATTCGTTTTGCATTGATTTAAACATTTTTAGTATCGTAATCATTTGATACATTGAACTGATCAGTGTTGTTTGTTTGTTTTCTTTTTCTTTTTCTTTTATAAATTTTCTCTTTTTTATTTAGGTTACTGATTATCTATTAGATCCATCAAGATTACTTGATGAAGAACAAACTTATCAAGCATCATTAATTATTGAACCAAGACAATCGATTAATCGACAATCTTTATCAGGATTTACATAATCAATCAATCAATCAATTAATCAATAATTTTATATTGGAATTAGAAATCAAGATATTGATTATTTTCTATATTTAAATAATAATTAAAGAATTAAATTGCCTTGTTGTCAAGTGTTTGTTTATTTTTGTTTTCTTTCCAAACTATATTCATTCTTTATTGTTTTCTTTTGTACTTCTCTTTTATATCATTTAAATATATTGAAAGAAGAAAACAAAGGGGGTTCCTTATTGGAATTTAGTTACTAAGTCAATATATTTGCATTTATATGTGATTGGAAAATAAACAAACAAACAAACAAAAAAAGTGATTTATGTTTATCATTTTTTGATTTCTTTATTGATTAAGGGTTTGTTTTGTTTTTGTTTTTGTTTATTATGTGTAATCATTAATTGTGATTTATCAATATGATCATTGTACATTCCATAATACACATTTTTTTATTTTAGGCAGTTTTCTTTTCTTTTTTTTCGTTGCTTTGGTTTCGGATATAAATGTGATTTTCATTTGAATTTTAGAAGAAGAAAGTTAACTATTATCTATTACATAATAATAGTAATAGTTAGAACTAATTATCTTTGATTGGTTTTTTTCGCTTTTTTTTTCTTTCATTGTATGTGTGCTCATTATATCATTTTGACTATCAATATGATCAATCCACCCCTCTCTCTCTCTCCATATATATATTTATGTATAAGTTTCTTTAGATTATTTCTTTTTATCTGTTTCTATGCAACATTCCATTATTGTTTTTAATTTGTTCAAAGAAAAGAAATAAGAAAACAAAATACTTTTTCTATGAATGAGATGATAAATTCCTTAAATTTGTTATTGTTACTCTCGCTATCATTTTTTTTTTCATATTTGATCATTGAAAAAGCGCCAATTTGATGAACTTATCTTTTAAATCAAATATGCTGCATTTTATGTTGTTTTTGTTGTTGCTATGCTTATTTTTTTGTTGCTATGCTTATTTTTCTGTTGCTATGTCTCTTTTCGTATGTATACATATATGTAATTGTAAACATGTTTAATATTAAGCATCATATTAAGTGTTAAACTATTTTATTTATGTGTAATTTTGTAACTTTGATAATTTACTACTAATTGAATTTAGTTTTATGATAGAAACATACACATAGATGGTTCATGTCAAATTCTTATTTGTTTGTCCGGCTGATATTCCATTTTCTTTTCTTTTTCTTTTCTCAAGAATATGATTTCACTTTTCGTCAGAGATATCAAATAATTTTTATTATTATTGTGATTATATAGACAGACAGACAGATAGATAGATAGATATTTGATTGTTTTATTGAATAGAGAAAAATATAGAGAGAGAAAAATAAAAAAAGAAGAAAAAACAAAAAAACAAAAGATAATTTTCATCTTATTTTTATGTTTCTATAAAAGAGATTTAAGAAAAAAAATATTATTGATTTTTATATCTTATATTAATTGGTTGTTATGGTTTTATTCTTTCATGTTTTTAATGATTTTATTCAATAAGCATTGAACAAACATTGAACATTGAACATTGAATAATAAACACATAAAGAATATGCATATATATATTGCTTTATATTATATTCATTGTGATTCATTTCTTGTGATGAATGTGTATTACATGTATTGATTGCATTTCTTTTTTGTTTTATTTCTCTTTGTTTTGTTTTTCGTTTTGTTTTGTTCAAAAGTGTATATTACATAATAATGAAGTAAAGAGATGAATCAGATTTTTAATGGTGTTTTATTCTTATTATATAAGATTTGTTTGTTTGTTTGTTTTATTAGTTCACATTTGAATCATTGTTTACAAGAATATTCTATTGAAACTTCTAAATCTAATCTAATGTATTTGTTAGATCTATTGAAGCATCCAATTCACTCGATTGAGATATGCGCAAAACTGAATTTTTCAAAACAACAGTTTGTCTACAATAGCGGTTCTTTATTGAATTATAAACAAAATTTAGTTACAAACCTCAACTTCTGAGGTGTCTGGGGCATTTAAACGTGTCCTTCAAGTATGAAATAAAAAAGGCTTCCTTTAAGAGTAACATAAAGAATAATTATAACTTACGACAGCACAAAGGAAAGCTGATAGCTATGTCTAAATTTGATAACAGTTTAGGAACAACCGAAACCTGAACCAAAAGCAAAACATTATGGAAACTGTTGCGTTTAAACAAATGCACAAAACTATGAATAACACCTACAGTGATTAAGGTACAGTAATTAAAATGATAAATACAATAATAAGTACTATAGACATTATAAGTATCTGTGAACATTTCAGAACATTACAGTATAAATTGCTTTACAACATAAATGTGAAAATTGTTGGGAATACTACTGTTTACTGAATATAAATAAGTAGTATGAAATAATATACAAAAGAGTAGAAAGGGAACAAGTAGGAACAATGTAAAACAAACTTAACAGTATTTAATTATGAAGTTCAAGAGAGAGTAAATAAAAAGAATTAAGATATATTGAAACTATTGAATGTCAAAATTGAACAATCTTTTATAGAATATTATGTTGTATTAGAAAGAAAAAGAAAACTGAAAGGAATGGTTAGTTGTTTCTTTTTTCATTATTGTAATTGTGATAATAAATAGGATACAATCAGTCAGCTACAACTTAGGACCAGGTATATATATGCATCGCTCCAAGTTGATACATTTTATTAGCACAACAAGATGAACACTGGAATCATAGAAGTAATTGATCCAATAATAGATTGTATTCACTTACTTACTTACGCCTGTTACTCCCAGGGGAGCATAGACCCCCGACCATCATTCTCCAACCTACTCTGTCCTACTCCTTCCTTTCTAGTTCTATCCAATTGATGTTCATTCTTCTCATGTCTATCTCCATTTTTTGGCGTCATGTGTTCTTTGATTTTCCTCTTTTCCTTTGACCTTCAGGATTCCATGTGAAGGCTTGCCTTGTGATGTAGTTGGTGCTTACATCAATGTGTGTCCTATCCACTTCCAGCACTTCTTCCTGATTTCTTTCTGCAGTGGAATTTGGTCTGTTCTCTCCCACAGTAGGTTGTCGCTAATAGTGTCTGGCCAACGAATCCGAAGAATTTCGCGTAGACAATTGTTAATAAACACCTGTATCTTGTGGATGACGGATTTTGGTTTCCGCTCCATACAGTAGAATAACAGATTTTGTATAGGGGTATAGTACAGGAAGAAAGAATTAGTTCGTAGAAACAAAAATATTAAGCAGTTTTAATCTCACAGTTTAAGGGAAGACAGAGAGTGTATATACCTACACCATTGTGATAGATTCTGAGCCATATCACACAGAGTCTCCAACCATCGGATACGAGAGTCACGCGGACACCAACCAAGTCGTCTGCATCTACCCACATGACTCAGACTAGAAGTTAGTGACTTCAAGCACTGATGCCACGTATTGGTTTGGCCGCCGCAAGCATTCTTCCAGCTGTTTTCAACACCATTCAGCATTGAGAGTTATGGTAATCGTTGTCCGGGTATACGTAACATGTAGCCCAACTGTATCAGTCGATGGAGATTTACAACCTCATAAATTGACCTGCCGTCCTCCTCCAGTATCCTGCGTCTAACCTCACTATTACTTACCCGATTATCTATAATGTTTCGAATTATTTGAATTATAGCACGAACTAAGAGTCCAAGAAATAACGCAATTGAATGAAGAAGACACAAGCACAAACGAATGTACTGTATTTGGAATTCGAAATCGAGCATTCAACATGTACAAAGGTATAATTAATCAATTCAAACACCACATTATCCCAGCAGATTCGAGCAAAATTTCTAAGGCATCTGTGGTCAAATACTATTAGCTTATGAATATCTACTTTTAATGACCACGTTTCGCAGCCGTAATGTAGAACAGAATGAACGGCTGTACAGTATTCTCGTCCCTTAATTGATAGACGGATATCTCGCCTTCGTCATAGGTGACGTAAGTTGACAAAAGCTGAACGATCTTTCTAAATTTGTGCTGAGATTTCATATGGCACCAATCCATTAGGGCTGATCAGACTTCCAAGGTAAGTGAAGTTGTCGACTCGTTCGACTACTACCTGACCGTTGCTGTCACCTTGATGTGGTGATCGGGTTTGCCTATCGTGATGATCCAACCGAGCTATACTGGCTGGAACATATGTTCTTGTATGTTCTACCATGCGAGGCAGGTCGATTGAAGAACTGTAAGACTAAAAGCAGCAAATCAAGGTCTGAGGACAAAGTCTTACTGCCAACTGCAGAGGTGTGTGACAGCAGTAAGATGTTCCCCTCGGGCAAACAGCATCTGCAGCGATTCTGCCTTCTCATAACGAAGGATGGATTTGGAAAAGGTCGACCCTAAAAATGCACACATTGTATTATCCCATGGATATTCCTCTCCGTCAGTAAGGTCTAAACAAGTACGAATCTAACACGAAAATTACTCACAAAAAAGGTCGTGTGTGGCCGTTCTCAAGCAGTTATCTCTCGGGCACTGTGGCCACGTTTTCAGGTCACTAAGACCACCCTTAAAACAATTTTCTTTTCAGATACATCCAGTAGAATCCTTCCATGACGTGGGTAACCGGTAAGTGATAAATACCCTTATAACTCTAACAGCACTCAGAATCACTGAACAGTATACAGTCCTTAGAACATCAAATGAATCGTAATTATTAGTAATCGCTGATAAAAAGTTAAAGGAGGTTCAGAATAGTAAAGTAAGCAAGTAAGACTAAACCTCCTTCAACTTATTGTATGATAAATGTTATACGATTAATTAATGAACATTTTCTGCGATTTCTTTCATCATAGAATATGCAAATTAATCAAATTAGGGGAAGTTGTGACAGGTATTTCTGAAAATTCTTTCAAATCATATGAATAGTTTACAAACTCTTACAACTTTACTCACCATCTTTTTATCAGCATTTAGTATATTCTGGTTCTAAACTTAATCACAAAGCTTGAAAGTATATTGATTATCATGAACTTTAGCTTATATAATGTTATATTGTAGTAAAGGAGAACACAAGTAGGGACAATTGAATGTAGTTGAATACAAAATTAGATAACATCTCAATAAAATCTGAACACGTACCACACTTGTCTTCCCTTTAAAACAGTTGTTCATGCGGTGGTTCTGCTCAGTGTGCTACTTTCTTCTTTTCTGAAGTCTGTGCAACCTGCTGAGCCATCTACATTCGATGTCCGCCCAGCACCTTCACGTCCCACTGCTCCTCTCCATCGACATTACCCACTAAAGTCATTACCACCCTGTGAGATCCACTTTCAATGTTTTGTGTGTGAAAATCTCTCCATGTATACACTTGCAGTTTGTTCCCATTGGTTCCTTTAGTTGTACATTTTTTTAGTCTTTTTGATACCATTTGAATTGTTAGTATTTGTATTTTATCATAGTTTTATATTTTTCTTACGCCTTCACTAAGTTTCCGTATTTCTTCCTGAACGGCATTTATGTTGTTTTACTTGATACTTGGTCTTGTCGGCAGCCTTATTGGTTTGTTCCTCCTTTTGATTGTGTTACTTGTATTGACTGGAATTGTGCATTTTTTGATTGTGAATTGAGGCACTCTTCCAGAATTGGAAACACTCCGTGTTATAAAGCAACCAAATCTTATCTTTTCAACGAATCTGTACGTGGTCTATCCAGAAAGGATAGAATAACATTTATTTGTTGTATTTGGTAATTTTCTCGCATCCTTTAACAACTTCCTTCTTCATTATAATTTAGATTTGAGTGATTGAACAATTATTGGTTGAATAGCTGGGTGGTCATATTTGTTTAGGTAACAATGTTCATTTAAATTTATGATGAATTTTAGAACCGTCATTTTACCGACTCACTTTGTTTTAGTTTCAACCGGGCAAGGGAGCGTATCTAACCCACATAGACAGCTATTCTTTAGTCCAAGCCTTAGTTTGGATCTTACACGCCCCGCCAGAACACTCCACTCGACTTCATTTCCCCACACCAGACAGATCTAACTAGCACCTCAGTCCCAGGTTCACAACAGATTCCACAGAACAGCACCCTTTCCCTCTCCTGTTTGACATTGACACCAAATGTAGTAAATGAGAACACAAATGAGAACAATAGAATTGATTTGAATACAAAATTGCAGAACATCTTAGTAAAATCTGAGAACCATACAGTAAATACTTCATTCGCAAAATATCAATTAATCGTCTCAGACTTCATTGATCTTTCGTTTCCACAGCAATCATTCTCTGTTTTCGTTCTCTTTCCTTTGATCTCAAACTTCTGCCTCCATGCATTTCTTTTACGATTGATGATACGTACTACTTATATATATATCGACATCAGCAGCACAAACTACAGTATTACTAAATATGAGCTAACACTACGTTGAACTTTTTTTTAAATGACTGAAAGTTTTATAACCCAATTATTCTACTCCAAATGGTTATAGAAGTTGCAGTTAAGAGCCCATTGAAGGATGTGCTTTATTAAAAGTATGATAGTTTATATCACTTGATAACTTAACAAAATATTTGTCTTATCCGAAATACTTTTGAGTATTTGTTATATGAACATATTTTTCTAATTAAATGCTTGAAGTTTGTTTGCCAGTCGATAGTTTATGTCAAAAACAACTGGTAGACAATTATTTACGAGATTTCATTTCTCCATTCGTTACACTTGAATAGTGATGATCTCTGGATGGATGGTAATTAAAAGAGA